ACAATAGATGGCAAAAGAAGAAGGGGATGACAGAGGATGAGGTGGCTAGATGGAGTCACTGAAGCAGTTGGTGTGAGCTTAAGTGGACTTAAGTGGGGGATGGTGGAGGACAGGAAGGCCTGGAGCTTAAGTGGACTCCGGGGGATGGTGGAGGATGGGAAGGCCTGGAGGAATGTTGTCCATGGGGTCACGATGGGTTGGACACAACTTCGCAACTAACAACAACAACAACCTGTGTTGTATTATATTGCTTATATAGACCTTTCACATTGTGAAATTCTGTCAGAATTGTAGTCAAGGTAAACCAGTCATCTGATCTATATGCTATGACCACTGTTCTTGGTTTTGCACATCCCAGCAAACCTCTCCTGATCTGCAAAGTTTCCTTGTGCAAACGTTGTAGTTAATTTATTAACCTAATTCTTGTTCAAAATAAAACAACCACCCATGACTGATGGCAAGCCTGGCAAATTGGGAGAACACTATGCAACTCTTTTGTATGCAAAAACTGCAGCAGAAATATTGGATTACAGCGTAATGATAACAAATTTGTAACTGTGATCCTTTTAAGTACAAGTCCTTGGAAATAAGTGTCCTTGTTGATTGTAGGGCCTCTCCTCTGATGGAATACAGAAATGTTTCCGAGAACTGCAAGGAGATCTCTGCACCCTCCTCTGACTCCAACTCTCTGCCATTCCCCATATCTGGCACAGATCCTTTGGCTGGACAACGACCTGGGGCAGCTCTGGGGAGACCAGCAGCTGCAAATGCAGCCCGAGAGCGCAGCAGAGTACAGACTCTACGCCATGCCTTCTTGGAGCTGCAGAGGACCCTTCCTTCTGTGCCACCTGACACCAAACTCTCAAAGTTGGATGTGCTGCTCCTGGCTACCACCTATATTGCCCACCTCACCCGTAGCCTACAGGATGAAGAAGAATTGCCTGGTGAGGGCTTGGGCACACTGAGAGGGGATGGATACCTGCACCCCGTTAAGGTATGCAAGGTGGTTTCTCTTTGGAGGCCAAATCAAATAAAGGTGCCCAAACATAATCACTTTAAATTCTAAAACACACATCCCTGAGACAAAATCTTATGTTTTCTTGAGTACAAAGGAATGTTCCCCCTATAAGATGTGTTTTATGACTGTGGGCTTCAATTAGCAAAAGTTCTGATACTGGTGAAAGCAGCTTCTGCTTCTCTCAGTTATACGCTCTTTAATTAGTTTGGGGAACTATTAAAGGGCTGATCAGCAAGAGAAACAGAACCTGTTTTAAAACAACTTGTCTAAACTGCAGTGGCAGACTGTACTGTAAGCTATGCTATAATTCATTGTTTCCTACAGTCACTTTGCACCTTATTTATTTAAAACAATGATTATGGTGAGCCTTGGTTATAAGCAATGAAGTTTGTGGGTGATATTTAAAATTGTGCACTAATGCTTTAGTTTAAAAAGTAAACCTTTTTTTTTCCAGATGGCCAAATTCTGGCAGAAGGTCCAATTTCCTCAGGCCTGCTGAAGTTACTGGCCTTACTATAACAAAGAGGGCATGTAGAAGGACATAGCAATTACAGGGCAATCAGGAACTTCAGTGCAAACAATGCAGGACATCACCACACAATTATTCTAAGAGCACTTCCTTGCAAGTTCCATTGGAATCCAAGGAACACTTCCAAGTAGATATTTTATAAGGGAAGGGTATCATCCCCAGTAGGCAGCATAGTAGGAAATTACCTGAAATTGTCACTTCCAGAATGGATCGAGTCAACAGAGGCTGTAGGAGGAGGTATACTGACTTGCCCCATTCCAGAAGCAGCAGTCTGAGGTAATTTCTTTGTTTGCTCCAGCAAGCACTATTTTCCCATTTGTTCACAGTAATTTCTGCTAACACAGAGTGTTCCAAGCTACCATTTTGCCATCTTTGATTACTGGCCAATGCAGTTAGCTCTGCAATATATTAACACTCTGCCATTAGGATACAGATTCCTTGAAGGCTTATGAGTCCACTGTCCTTTATTTGCAAATAGGCTGTTGAGAAGCAAGTCTTTGCAAAGTTTAATAAAATCTGTATCTTTTAGAACAATCAGGCTAGTTATAATATTATGAAAAATGTTTCTGCCCAGTACTTCATTTGAAATATTAAAACCTGCTTAGATATAATTCACTAAGTTGTGCTACTGGGCAATGCTGTTGTATCCATTTGATCTCACCAAGGAAAAAGCTGACATCCGCATAACAGGGTAGGGGCCAGTTCCCCTTGCCCACTAAAGCCTCCCATCCATTGTCAAAATCTGCTCCTGTGAGCTGCAGAACAGATGGGGAGCATAGTGGATTCAGGGTGGAGGAGTAGAAGGGAAGCCCATATGTACAAGCCTAAGTCCATTTACGTTGTGCTGGCAGGAGTGTGCAGGCTTGTACAATCACAAGTATCCCATGTATGCCATCACAAATTGCTCTAATTAGTGCAATTATCCTTGCCAGTAACATGTTGCCAGCAAGGGTCAGTGGCTGGAATGCTTTGCAAACTACCCTGATGCCCTAGAAAAGCCCTGAGACTTGTGCTAAGTAGAGCTTATGTTAGCTTTTACTTAATTTTGCTTCCCATCATGACATAAGCAACAATCCTGTGTGGGCATACTCAGAAGAAGGTCCCATTTAGTTCAATGAGACTTACTTTTAAGAAGATATGAATAAGAGTGAGCTACATGCCTGGTATACAATTGCAAAATAATATTTGCAGCTGTCTGTGAAGTGAAGAAAATGTTTCCCCTTCTCCACAGATTAATGGTGTTTAATCTTATACATTCAAGGCTTAACCAATTGCTCTGAGGAGCAGACAGGAATATTTTCTTATTTCAGGCACACATGTGACTCTTCTTTTTCATATCTCCTTGTATCCTGTGTGTCATGTATCACTTGGCTAAGGCACCTGTGAGCAACTTGTACAGATTTACACCTCAGGTACAGCCTGATCCTGTGCGTTACTTCTCAGAGCAAATCTCATTAAGAGCCATGGAATTTATTTTCTAATAAATGTATTATTATTATTATTATTATTATTATTATTATTATTATTACAGCCTCAGAATATATTTGTATTTGTCACAGCTGTAATTGGAATGTAAAATGTAACATTGGTTAGAACATAATCTAGTTCAAAAATTACTTTCTCTTGCATTTTTTCTTACATTAACAGTGTTCATTGGCACACAGAAATAGTGCCCAAGAGGTACAAATTGCTTTTAATATTATGTGGAAAGATTATTTATAATATACTCTTCTGTGGGCCATTCTTGCTCTGGTAATATTATATTTTATAAGATACTAGCTTGTGATGATGAGAATGTATCTATAATTATAAGTCTTGATCATGTTGCTGTTTTCCACCTGTTTTTCTTTCATTTTGTTGCAAGCTTTTTTGGCAGAATTGGTTTACTTTGAACTGGTTAAGGACAGCAGCAGTAACTAATAACTAATAAGACAATAGTGAGGAGCAAATTAGATGCAACACCATTCATGTGATTAGCACGTGTATGATTAGTTTAAGAAAGCTTAAGAAAGACTTGAAGGGCCTAGCCCTATTTAAGCCAGTTAACATGTGCCCCCTCCCCCAGCACTGTGATCCCAATTTGGATTGGGCTTCCATGCCTTCTGATTGCATGGAAAGGAAATGTCTGATGGAATGCAGGGGAGCTTTTCTTCCAATGCAAATAGCAAGAATATGTGTGGCCTCCAGTCCTGATGGGACCACAGTAGAGACAAAAGGTTGCATACACACACCTTGAAAAGTTCATGATCTGGATAGTCCCATGCTTTTTATTTACTTAAAACCAATCACATGAATGGCATCATCTCTAATTTGTCTCTGAAAAAAGTTTTTGTCTGAAGCCTATTTTCCATTATTCATGATCTAGCAGAGCAGGCTACTGTTATGAGATTTGTAAACTACAGATACCTGCACCTAAGTAATACCAATCTATTATGTGCAGTTTTGTGAATTTTGTCTTACAGAAATGGCCAATGAGATCAAGGCTTTATATTGGGGCTACAGGACAGTTTCTGAGTCATTCAGTGCAAGCAGAAAATGCAAATCCAGGAGAAACTTCAACAAACTTACAAATGTAAAGCTATGATTTATCTCTTGAATATTGTTGTATTTATTATGCCAGACATATTTACCATATTTTTCATTTTATAAGACGCAGCTATAAAAATATTCTGAATCAAATGGGCACATAATCACAGGCACATTCCCCATCACTTCCCCATGGGCTGCACATCTGACAGACTTCCTGCACACACATATTCGCTCTATAAGACGCATAGACATTTCCCCTTACTTTTGAGGGGGGAAAAGTGCGTCTTATAGAGCAAAAAATATGGTAAATCAGATACATCTTCCTACAATGATGACATTTCTCTCATTCATAGCTGGAACTGAGGGTTTTTGAGGGCATACATAAACTTTAGGGTTGTTCATACAATATGCTTCCAAATGCAGCCTATTCACAAGAGCAGAATAATGTTGTATCAAACATATTCCATGGCTTCTGAAATGACAACATGCACTTTCTACTGTTCAAACATTGCTACAGTTGAGATCATGACATTCTGGACTCCCATTTGTGAAGGAAATGGCCAAATGAAACATTTAAAATGGCCCTCCTAATCAATGCAATGGATTGTCTGTAACCCTTAAAATAATGCAGCTTGCTGTTAAGTTTTATAAAAAGTGGACTACCATTTAGGAGTTATTACTCCAGTTCTTCCAATCAATCAAGAAATATTGGTGTGCTGTCCTTCTAGCTATGTGTGCACGCTTTTAGGGGCTTAGGAAGAGCTGTGCTGAATTGGACCAAAGATATACCTAGTCCAATTTCCTGTTTCCAGCGATGAGCATGAAATGCATCAAAAGCTGTCTCCACCTGGTTTGCTCTCATGTTTGGGTCAGAGATACAGTCTCTGAACATGAAGGTTCAATTTTGCAATAGTGGTGAATACCTATTAGATCAGCACAGCCCACTGTATAAAAACCACAGAAGAGATTACAAGGTAGTATGGCTGATTATATTGAGGAGGAAGTTAAAGCAACCTCAGAACTCCTCCTCTGCCCATAAATGGACCTTGCACATGGAATTGTGTTACATCTTAAGTATGAGGAATTTGGCATCTCTCTTTTTAAAAGTATGCATTGAAATAATCACTTTCTTCACTAGACATTCTTCAAGATTGCAAATTGGGCATGTTTGAATTTCATTGTTTTGTATTTTTCTCTGTGTGTCGCACACATGCATGGGTACATACACCTTTCAACTAAGGACAATGCTATGTGCATTGGATGAAGTTAATGCTAGTCCACAAAAGCGTATGACATGATAGATCATCCAGTCTATAAGGCATCATGACAAGATTCTTTGTCATTCTTGGTATAATAAATTAGTACTGCTATTATTCTGAGAATATTTACCACTCAGATACCCTTCTTGAATGAACTTTTTGCCTCTTTGATGAAAGTGTATTCATATGAAATGAAAAATTTGCAGTATATCAGTCCTCTAATGTGGCATATTAACAATGTAAGCAGCTTTGTAGAGTAACTGTAGCAATAATATATGTTTTACAATATAACTTAATATTATCTGTGCTTACCTCTGTCTTGAATGTACTAAATATATGGAGAGACAGCTTGCTTCTATGCTACATCAAGCTTTTTAGAAGAAATGCACATTCCAGAAAATGAAGCTTGCATGATTTGTAAATTCAAATAAAATATTTGCATGTAATCAACAGTGGTTAGTAAGAGATTTACTTGGTCAGCTTCTCTTATCATGTGAATATATTATATAATTTACAGAATTATGTTTCATATTTTTATATTAGTACTTTGGATACTGTTATTTGTCAAAATTGAAAAGATGCAAAATCTCCCTGAAAATCAAAATGAATTTAAGTGAAATATTTGGAAAGTTCGCTGAATATGGTATCATTTTATCACAAGATTAGGGTTTTCTTAAACCAATAACAATAATATATAAATACACTTTGAATCAGCTATCCCTGGGGCTCATCCTAGAACCATTAAAAAAATTATTCCCCTGGGTTAGCCCTGGAAAAATGTGAGTTGCACAGTTGTAAATGCATTACCCTGTTGAAAAACAATTTCTCATTCTCTAGTGCTAATATTATTAGATGCTTATGTGTTTTTAACAAAAATCATTCAAAGAAAAGAGCATAGATGCACAATGAGCTTTTTCTACATGAGGTTGTTAATTGTATCTCCTTTTGGTTTTGTCAGAGAAATGAGATCCAAGCTGTACACAAAGCTTGTTTCTTGCTTTTGCATAACATAATCTCTAGGTGGAGCTATGCTATAGAGGAATATTGCAAATACAGTGCTTTTAGTGTATGAAAATGATGCGGGTCCATATGATGGAGAAAGCAATCAATGTGAAGAAACAGCACAGGATGTTGTACAAAGTACAGTCCAAGAAATGGTGAACATAGTAGTAGGAGGTAGTATATTAGCAAACTATGGTTTATAAAGCTGAGTATGATGGCCACCTATGCCCTACTTCCCTCTCTCATGCACTGCAATGGAGCACATTTGGAGATTAATTCAGTCTCCTATTGCATTGAAGTAGGAAACTCTATTTGCTGTTTACAAACGTGGTTATCAGATAGAGATACTTATACCTGTAATAGCCTGGAAAAAAACTGACATGCAACTGAATAATCATGAATTCTCAAAAGAACCTGGAAACAATAAATATCTTGTGCAGAAAAGCTTAGTGTCTTATAACTGGTAATGCTAGAAGCTCACTGTATGATGCAGCCATAAATGACTCACAGAGCATTTATAGTGATCTTTGCAATATTTTGAACATATTGAGAAACAAGCTGTGTACATACTCCATGACTATAAGAAACAAAGAAAAATGTGGTAAGAGGAGACAGGAACTGCATAACCATACAGGCACAAAGTCCCAATGTTTGGGAGAGTATTCAAAATGTGCTCCTTTTCTACTCTTTCTCAAGGAAAAACAAAGTTTTCCAGGGATGTATCAGAGCCTTAAAACACCCTAGATGGTTGCCAAGTCCCAACATATTTTTCAGAAATACCCTCAAATGGTGTAATATTTGTGTACTGCTAGTTGAGGACATGTATTGGAAAAGCCAGTACATACTGAAGAGATCCATGAACAACTGGGAATCCCTGTATTGAATATTCAAATATGTGCTTTGTAAAACCAAACATTTTAGGATATGTGCACAAACTACATGGAAGCAAAGTAGTTTGTTCTTAGCATGGTGTTCCAAGTTTTTAATTATTTGATTATTAAGACATTAAGAAAATCCAGAACTATATTTTTAATTCCTTCAAAATACACAGTATGTATATATGTGGATCCTCTTACAGTGCAACTTTATATGTTTACTTGGTCATGATGTCATTTCAGTAAGACTTACTCTCCAGCATATGTGTGTATAATGTTGCTATGAAATATCCTTTTGTGATTTATTCTTAAGTAGAGCCAAGTGTTGACACCTGAACCCTAGTGTAACCTTTGCTTCATTTAGAATACAGCTTTTCTTCCCTACCAAACTCTCCTAGCCCCCAAATCTCATGATAGTAGTTGCTGTGGGCTTTCCAGGCAAAATGGCACGGCCACGCTTCCCTTTTGTAGGTGGGGTATCCTCCAGTCCTGACTGAATTATCTTCCATCAAAATGCACATAACTGTCTCATGATTTGGAATATCTGCCTCATTATTTTTTGGCATGTGAGCACAGAAAAAAGGATATATTTCTATATAACCAGTACATGATTTGGAACTAGTTATGAGTTTAATCTCTTTTTTCTTTTCATCTTACTCCCCCCTCCCCACCTTTACTTTACACAAAGAGGGCTCAGTTCTACTTGGTCTCTAAGGAAAAAATGGTGACTGGCAGAGAATATATTAACACAAGAATATTTAACTGGAGGCTATAGTAATTTTTATATTATGTATGTATTAACTCTTGTCTGTGTTGTTGGCAGGGGTCTATTTTATTTAATCTTCTAATGCAGCATTTAGACTGAGGTTGCTATATAATAAAAAAAGCTTTAAATGGTTGTGAATGATGTTTTTTATCAGGAGGTGTGATGGCAGCAGTAAAGACTTCAAAGGTTTACAGCAGTTGCAGTTTTATTACAGTAAGTGAGTTATTCTTAAAAAACAATAACTTTTTGGACACAAATATATAGCCTGATATAATATGAAGCATACCAAAGAATTGCACTGAAGTATTAGGTGCTTCCAGCTGAGACTTTTATTGCAAAACCAAACTACCTCCATCACAGAATTTTATTTGAGGTGTGCATGTCCAAATTATGGCATCTTCAATTTATACCCTTCAATGCGTTTCCATCACTTCTTCCATCCTCAGCCCACCGCCCCTGCAGCAATAGCCAAAAAAAAAAAAAAAAAAAAAGTTAGAGAAAAGATTGAATGGTTGCATAATACTTTTTGATTTGAAGCACTAGGAACCCTCTCTCTGGAAATACATATGCTTTATTATTTACAAGTTAGAACATTTTCTAAATGCTGTACACAGACTAAAATCTAGACTGATCCTGCTAACAGACTTAATGAGGCAACACGACTGGAATGGGGAGGGTAGAGGAAAATAAGTTATCTGATGCACCGATTTCCAAGGTTACAAAACCTCATAGCATTCAGCTGATATGTTAAGAAAAACTTCAAGAGAACCCATCTTTAACCATACAGCAGGAACACCTGCAGAAAAATCTCCGGAGTGGAGCCGCATGGCATGGAATCAGCCTTGCACTGCTGATTCTACGGATAGCAGAGACAACCGGGTCATCAACCCCCTCAGACTTCCCCATTCATTCTGAGTTTCAAATATTAATTTTGTCATCAACTTGATATGTTGCAAGTTATCCCTATTGTACTGCTAAGTATTTTGGGTGGCTTGGTCTTGAACGGAGAATGGAGCTGGTCTGGATCGCCAGGAGAAAAAGGAGCTTGTTTGGCGTAATACAGCTGCCCGTAGCTTTGAACTTTCCTTGGCGCGCGGTTGTGGGGGCTGTCAATGATTATGTGCACTCCCAAATTCGCCTCTGTCCTACCTAAAGATCAAACAGGCACGCAGAACTAATACGTACAACGCTCTGCTCCCTGAGAATAGGACATGGGAACAAAGCTGATGTTCCTCTACGACTCCTTCCTACCGCCCTTATCGTATTCTAAAGCAGCAACCTACCTAAATTAAACAGACAAGACCTTTCACACAATCAGCCGGCCAGATTTCACTCCACGTCCCACTTTTAGTCGTGTAACTAGAGATGCTCTGCCCAGACACTGAGGTGCTTGCTTGTGAGGAGTAACTACACAGTTTAGAACACGGGGCCAGGGCGACTTATTTTATATTGTTAACTTATATTATTTTAATTGATTTATGTTGTGAGCCGCCCCGAGGCTTTGGCGAATGGGGCGGCATAGAAATTTTCTAAATAAATAAATAAATAAATAAATAAATAAATAAATAAATAAATAAATAAATATTGCGCCGAATTGGCATCGAACCGCTAACAACATAGAATTGAGCCGGAGCAGAAGTCAGGAGAATCGGTCGCAACTTCTTTAAATTGGGACTGATGGAGCCCAGCGGTGCTACTTTAGGCAGCAACCGCAAAGCCTACTCTGCCTGCTGCTACATATTCCTTCTCCGTGACCTTCCAGCTTGTTATGCTTCCCTTTTAGCGGACGCCATAAAAGAAGCGCACTTTAAAGCGACACCCCGAGCCATTTTGTCTCTAAGACCACGAACGAGTCCCATGATACCCCGCGCGCCGACTAAACAAGGACTATCGTGAAGAGCCAACTCTGATCTCATATCCCTCTGCGAGTGGGCGCGCGATTCTCACGGCACAATTCGCGTAGGTAGTAATAGAATTTCGTTCGTTCGTATCTGAAACAGAGCTGCCTTTTTGTTTAGTTGATATGATCGTTTGGTACTATGTTTTTTCTGACAGCAGGTCTGAATACCAACCTCGGCCGGAACAGAAAGTAAGCCGTAAAGAGACAGGGGTGGGGCGGCCTTAGGTCACATGGTCCTTGTATTTATTATTCAGGTTCCCGCCTGGCGAGCGCGTTTTTCTGTTGACGGTTAGCGGCTGTGTAAGTGCCCGTAAAGCTTGACTGCTTTATAGCGGGAGCACGTGTGTGAGGAACTAACTGTTGGTTGGCGCCTAAGAGAAGGTATGCAGTGGGATGGAAGTTGTGGGTGCGGTTTATTGAGTTTACTAATAATTGCCTGTGTGTGGGAGGTCTCAGGGTTGGGGCCTGGAGGCAGCTGGGTTCCCTCCTCCTCCATTGCCGTACTTGAGACGGCTTCGTCCGTAAAATGTAGCTGTTTGTATATTGCATTTTTATACCTCTGTTTGGCTACCGGCGAGGTATCGCCAACAAAAGCAATGGTAATTATAGGCGATGGATTGGGGCCGCCCCTGTTTATGGGCGGCGTCCCCTTCCACGTTTCCTCGCAGGGAAGAGCTGACCTCCCCTTGAAAATGGCTATCTGTTTGTTGCGGGCCGCTGCTCCAGTAAGGAGCCCGTCCACTTTGGCCTAAGAAAAAGGCCAAAGGTACACGTTCTTTTCTTCCTCTTTACTCGTTTAGCGTCTATAGCCAGCAAGTAAGCGAGAGAAAGGATGGTCGAAGGTAAGCCCTCCTCTTCCTTTGACTATTTATAGCCGCATACTCCAGCAAACAGACATAGTGCATTCTTAACTCTTAGAGTCAGATCTAGGTTCAGGTTATGGGGTTCTTCCCCCATCCAGTATGGTTAGGCCTCCTCAGCATTTAAATGAAAGTTTTAGAGAATGAGTGGGCAGTGCCGGAACACATACTCACTCTGTCCAAGTGTGGAGTAGAGGAACCGAGTGCCATCTTGCTGTTCAGAGAGCTTCTGCCTAAGTTGGTAGGCTGCTGTCTGGGTGGGGCAGTAGAGTCGTTCCAGTAAGAGTGGGAGTGCAAGTGTGCAGGGACTGGCTGACTTATTTTCATGCTTGCTCATCTGTAGCCTGCTTTTAGGAGGCAGAACACTGGGAATGTGGTCAAGTGTGGCAAATCCTAACTGCTTATCCTTATCAGTAGAGTGATGACAGGTAAAAAGAAACAAGGATTAGGTATGTGATGCTTGTTAGTACCTCTAATCACTTGCCTAGAATGTTTGCCTGTTCTTCTGAGAAGCCCAAGGGAAGAATTGGGTTCATTGGAACCATCCAGCATGAGTAGGGACCAAAGAAAATGGAGGTTACTCCTCCAACTTCAGCTGCAACTAGTGTGCTCTCGCATGCTCATGCGCTCTCTCTGAGTGATATGATGGAGGTGATTTTTTTACTGGCTGCAAGGATGTCTGCCATGCATAGAAGCCAGCTAGACTAACAAAATAAACTGCTATGTATCTGCTTTGCTGTTCTGCTCATTTATCTGGAAGGAATACAAAGTGTGTATGTGCAGAGTTATTGGTCATCAATGGCAAAGAGGAAACTGCTTCAGCAGCGAGATTTTATACTTTTTCAGACATAGCCTGATTTCTGCCACATTCTCAGTTCTTGTTTTCAGAAGTACTACTAGCCTACAGCAACCAGGTCTAATGGGAAAAAAACCAGCCTGAAAAAAATAAAAAGCAAACTCTTGTGCGACATGCCTCAGAATGCATCCTGCAAAATAAAGGGGGAAGCAAAGGAAGCTTTGTAGTCAGGTGGGTAGTAAAACTTGAATTTCTTGAATGCCAGCTCAACGCTAACCAGCTTCCCAAGGTTCAACTGCAGCCAAGTATAATATTGTGGTCCCGGAGGGTAGACACAGAATTGCAGAACAAGATGTCTCTGAGGACTTATTTAGTCCAGGAATTGTTTTTGCTTACAGTACTTTCATGCAAATCTTTTCATATACAAAGTTCACCCATTTTTCTCCCAACCTTTCTTTGTTTCAGTAGCCTTGTTTAAGATGAGGAAAAGGGCTTTTTGCTATTGCTGTTGGTGGTCTGAAATTCTTGCTGATCCTGATCTACCTACTTTATGCCTGTTCCTTACATAGCAGATGCATTGTACTATGCTTTGCATATATTTGGAGTAATTTGGTTTATGCTTGTATAAATGATAAGTACCACCTTCATAAGAACATATGAAAAGGCATGCTCGATCAGAAAAAAGGCCCATATAGTCCAGTATTCCATATACATGGTGGCATACCAGCGGCCCACAGGTTCCCTCAAGCAGGATGGATGCAAGACCTCCTCTTGTCCAAGCTCCTCGGTAATTGGTGTATGTAAGCATGCCATCTCTGGTAAAGGAAGTGGCAGATTGCCAGCAAGGTTAGTAGTCACTGATAGCCTCCCTTGTGAATCTGTCCAATCTCTTTTTTAAAGCCATTCAGATTGGTGAACATCACCACTTCCCGTGGCAGTGAATTCCATAGTTTAACTATACACTTTATGAAGAAGTACTTTTATTTGTCCTTTTTACTCTTATCTGACTTAAACCTCCCACCAATCAGCTTCATTGAACCCCAAGTTCAAGTGTTATGGGAAAGGAAGAAAAAGCCTCCCTCTACACTGTGCATTATTTTAAATGTCTTTATCATATCTGCTCTTGCCCTTTTTCTAAGCAGTACAGGTCCAGTTTTTGTAGCTGCCCCTCAAAAGAAATCTGTTTCATCTCCCTTGTCATTTGTGTTTCCCTTCTCTGTACCCTTTCAAACTCATTAATGTCCTTTTCCAGCTAAGGTGAGCAGAACTGAACACAATATTCCAACTGTGGTTGCCACAAAGATTTGCGTAAGGGAAGTAAGATTCTGCCAGATCTACTTTCTTTTCTGTTTCTAATTATACCTAGGATTGAGATTGCCTTCACAGCAGCTGAGCTGTCCTGATTCCTTTCTTGCTCAGTTTCTGCTAGTTCCATTCCCTTCAGTGTATACTTGAAATTGGGTTGTTTTGCCCCAATATGTACTATATTGAACAGTATTTGCCATTTTGACCCCCATGCTCCCAACTTGGAGAGATCCTTTTGGAGCTCTTCACAATCCTTTTTGGTTTTAATCACCCTAAAAAGTTTCATGTCATCAGTGAACTTTGCCATTTCACTGCCCTCTCCTATTTCCAGATCATTTATGAATCACTTGAAAGGTATTGGTCCTAAAACAAAATTCTGTGGGACTCCACTGGTGACATCTCCATGGGGAGAAATTGCCATTTATTCCCACCCTGTCTTCTGTTCTTTAACCAGTTAGTGATCCATAAGATGATTTCATGGCTGCTTAGATTGCTCGGGAGCCTTTGGTGATGGACTTTGAATATTGAAGATGTAGTGTTTGTGGAAGGCTGTGATTTTTATCAGACTTTGAGAGTTTGCTTTACATCAACCTGGGAGTCAAGTACCATAGGTATAGAATAAGCTATAGATACTGGCATTCGTACACTGATAGGATCAACAGTGATACAGACTTAAGAGCATTTTGGAAGAATAAAGTGTTGACTGACTGTGCTATACTTCAGTATTCAAGTGCTAGCAACAGGTTTGCTCAGATTTAAGAGGATTAGTATTGTTCCAGATACAAGTAGCTTGTTCACAGCACCTTTCTTGTTTTATGCAATAGATCTGTAACATTATAAAATAAAAGGACTGTTTAGGCTTATATTCAAATAACTGATGGACTTCTCTAGCAAATCAGAAAGCAGTAGACAAAATCCATGTTCAGATTTTCTTGATTTGGTCATTGGTCCTTTATAAAGCTCCACACCTGTGCTTTTGCATACCAATAGTTGATAGAAAAATTGTTTCCATACCAAGTAATCATTTTTCATTTGACTAGGCTCTGATTATACCAATATAACCAAAATGTCTTTTGCCTCTGACTATCTAAAAGCAGTTTTTATCTTAAAAAGCTATTACCATAGTGCCAATATGGATAATACTGTACATGAAAATTAGAGGACTGTTAATATGTATTAGCACATTTTTAAAAGAGAAGATAGTAGTGGTCATTAATGTGTGTGTATACATGCACCTGATCTCTTATGTAGGTGCAGCTATATTGACATTTGGTCATTTCTAAGCAAATTAACATTGTATATAACAGATGCTTAAAAGGAAGTGACTTGCCAGTTCCTATTTTTTTCTTTTTGATATGTTTTGTGGAATTGACCTAGGTTTTAATTAGATCATTTATTGAAGGAAACCATGGGGAAAATGTACTTCCAGTATTGATTATTCTGAGTTATTTCCAGTCTGGCAAGTTGTCTAAATGATGATGAATTAGGCAGCTAGAGATCATTACTGTAGCTGATGTCTTCATAAATCAGTAGCACCAGCTGAATGTCCCAGTTCTAATGATAAATTGCCTCTTAGTCAGTGGGGAAATTGGTTAGAGAGTTATCTTACAGCCCTGACCCATGACCTTTTCACTATGTAGCTATGAGTCTAAGTCTGGGGATTCCATTTTATTGGGACTTTGACTTGATAATGCTGAGAAACACCATGTACTCAGTTTGAACTGAGTCTGTAGGGAATATATTATATTTGTTCAGATAGTTCATCTTTCATACTTGTCAAATAGGATTGACTAAAAAAAAAGCAGTGGTTATTCTCTAGAAACAGTGCCTTTTAACTTTGCATGCAGGCTTTACTTGTTCAACCATAAACATATGAGTTATAGTAAAGATAGTTTGTATGTTTAATTAGGTTGTGCCAAAGACTGCTTGTTTAGGACTTACTTGACACTAAAGATAACGGTGAGTGTTGCTTTTTTATCTTGTTCCGAGCAAAGTATCTGTGCTTTAGTTAGAGTAGATATCAGTAGTGTTTTAAAAATAAACTTCTGTTTTCATGTTGAATAAACACTGCAAGGTTTTCATGCAATTTCAGATTGTCACATGCATATACATGCCTATTTGTTTTCCTTCCTGCCCCTTGACAATAGTAGCTTTTGCAAGCAAATCCGAAAACAGGAAAAAAAATTAATGTCAAAAATAGATTGTTTATAGTATAGATTTTACAGAATAGTATTGCTGGCACAATGATGATTCCTTTTGCCGTTTACCCATCTGAATGTATGCTGATGCGCTCTATTTTAATTCTGAGATGCCAGCAAAGGTTTAATTATGTTGGGTGGCTTGATGTGTCAAAACATTCATGTTCTAGTAAATATTTTTGTTACTACAGTGATTACTTTGTTTTCCTTCCTAAATTTAGATGGAACACCTATTGAATTTCCATTACATCTGTAAAAGAGCTTCTTGGAGTTTGAGGTAATTCTTGATTAAACCTATTCGTAGCATGTTAGTGTTTGCAAGTATTGTATGAAGTCTCTTTTGAAGAAATTGAACTTGGCATTCTTGAGCAAGATAAGAATTTGAGTTAAAAGTAAACATAATAAATCACAAACTGTGAAAGGGAGTAATTGCATCTAAAGAAACTACAGAGTTGACAAATTGAAATGGCCATTCAGGGTTTTATCTTTTTGATTCCATCCCTCAGAGAATTCACAAATATTTAAAACTGCTTTGAGATGCCATTATTTGTCAAATTCTAAAGGTTTGGCTTAAGAGAAAAAATTAACATGACTGCACTTAACTGAGAACAAATATGTAAATGGAAGGAATCACTTGTTTTTGAAATATGAAGTGAATAAACAAAGAATTCCTAGATACTTACCTTGACATACTGATTTCTCTTTTTGTTTGCCTGGGAGCAAGGCAGTGGTTGATAGAGCTGATGTTTTCACATATAAAAGTCATAGAATGTGCTTATGGTTTGATGCTTATTTCAAAAGTAAGGTTTTTATCCAAAATCTTTACAGCCCTTCCACTTTGGAAAGAAGATACTAAAAATGTGCTCTTAGACAAAGACTTCCTAGCAAGAATGACCTGATTGGCATCTAACCTGTTTAAGGATATTCATTTCTCTTGTTCCTGAAGGAAAATCAGTAGGAGGGAAAGGGACCTATTGCTGTTTTAATAGCCAGAAAGCAGAGTTGATTCTTCATTTTTTGTTTTGTATTTGAAATGTATTTGAAATGTTTTTGAATACTCTGTAATTTTCTAAACTGTAAATACATTGGAAAATAGATTCATATATAGGATAAATATTACTACGGTAAAACATTCGCTATTTCTGGAAGCTTCAAAAGAAAAAGCATACCAAATAGTTCTGTAGCCAGGCATTACATCCTCAATATTTCCAGTGGTATAATGTGACCAGGGGGTGTGGGGGTGAACTAGTTTTGCTGATGCTTGGAATCAGTGACTGAATATGTCATGTTTGCCTGCCTACAGAAATGGACTTTACAACTATTTACACATTCATGTTTGCTTAAAAAGAACTTTATTAGGGGTTGGCATTCTTTTTGGAAAGGATATTAATCTTCACTATGAAGAATATGTGTTGCAGGCCCATATGTAGCAATGAACTGTACCAGCTGTTGATGGCACTGCATCAAGTAAACATCCCTTTGTTTCAGAGAGTTTTCGTCATTGAGTTCAAATGGAAAAACAGCATTTGGAGCCAGGCAAAATACAGAAGCGCCTATGAAAATGAAAGACAGTAAGTTCATGTAATCCCTTTGAACACTGCATTTTTATGTATACTGGTAGCTGTTTTATTAACTTCAATGAAAATTTCACATAGAAACTTCAAACCATTAACAGATTTCTCAACCAAGTGTGGTATCCATTTGGTTTGTGTTGCTGACAGAATGGTTTCCATCAGTGGAACAAGGAGAGGGAGAATTCTTCATTTCCTCCAGCCATCCTCCAGTCTGTTCTGGAGTGTTAGAGTGTACTCTTGAAGAAATTGGGCATGAAGGGCTACAGGAGGGAATCTATTGCAAGATTGATTATATGATAGCAGATTGTATCAATACATCTGCTGAAGTGAACATTAAAAGTAATAGAAATGGTATCTAGACAAGTTCATTTATGAAATTTAATGTGCAAAAGTGTAGTTGGTCCTTACTGCAAATCATCCCTTAAGGACTCCCTACTGAAACTTTATCCAAGTCTGCACTAATATGTTCCCAGTTTAAATGTGGCCTAGCAGTTAAGCTACTATTAAGGATGGGGGATCAGATTGAAGCTTTCCCCCCTTTTGCCTTCTTCACATTTTAGCCATTTACCTCTAGGCATTAAGAGGTTGTGGGGAGTCTAGTGGTTAAAATAATACTTGGTTTCAAAGTCTGATTTTTTTTCATGTAACCAGTGCCATGTTTGTTGTGCAATTTGTAAATATTTACATTTGACCACAAAGTATGGAATGTATGTCCTGTGTTATAACATGAAGCATCTTAGGCTAGCTATAGAAAGCTGTGCTCAAAGAATCCAGAAAAAAGGGACCCTTTCTTATGCCTTCTATATGAACCAAACGCTGTCTCCTTCCCACCTACCCAAGTAGTTCTGGCAGTGTCTTCCATATTTTCAGTAAGTGGTAGTGTTAGCACATGGAGGAAGGAAATAAAAAAATCATATATGGAAATGATACCTTTGGACTTTCCAGTTTTTGGAAACTATGGAACTCTGCTTTTAAAACCAAATTTAAAAGTAGCATGTAGTAGCAGCTCTTAATGCAAACTTCTAGAGAAAGATCTAAATATGCTTTAGCTTAGCCTTTAACAACTTACTGGACTAGACTGCAACTACCATCACCTGCAGTGCTATGATCAGTGGATATGCTAGCTAGTAATCATGGGGCTGGTTTCATGATAGAGAAGGCTGGCTTAGCTTATGATAAATTCCATTTAAAATGAAGGTTTTACCATGCTTTAAAGTGAGAGATGACTCAAACAATAATACAGCAATGAGAACGTCTTCTTCAAGTACTTTTGTCCTCAGACTAAGCTTAGCATGTGCTTTAGAGAGTGAAATCCTAGGAAACAAAGATGTAAGTTTGTTTTTAATAAGCTGATGAACTGTTTAGGTATCATAGTTGCATAAATACAATAGTGACATGTGTAAGGGAAGTGGAGCATGCATGCATTCATTAAAATTAAACTGATTAGTAACACAAATGAAAGGTATAATTCTGAATACTTAGGAAATCTGTGTAATGTTTGAAATGATATGTATCAGTTAACACAAGTAACCCTGATGATTTTTACAGTCTCATTCCTAATTTGAATCATTTTCCTGAAGCACTGAATGCTTCATTCAGAAATACTTGAGCACTTCATGAAGTGATACGAACACTTTCCTGAAGCAGTTTAAAGGTGCACGTAATTATCAGTTCGAAATTCCTGTGTAAACTGATGCATAAAGGGGATTGTATAATTGTAAGGAACATAAGGAACAGGATGATTCATTTGTCATTTGCCCAAAGCTAGCAAACAACTGCAGGTTGGCCTATTGTCCTTGATAGGGTTTGTGAGTTGGTTACCTTCTTGAATTCTAGCTACTACCTATATAGTGTTTTTCCACTGGTTATATATATTTTGAAATTTTTCAGGTCAGCAGTTAAGTTACTTCTAAAGTTTCTTGAGACTTTTTTTTGTTCCTCACATAATGGGCTAATATGTGAAAATGGAACGAGCTTGAAAGTTCTATGTTGAAAGGCTTCCTATCTGTAGATGTTTCTGCTGTATATGTGAATATACAACATAGGGAGAGGAAGGAGGAGGAGACATTCACTGTAGCTGTTCTTCACAAACATGTGGTATTCCAGTACATTATGGAATTGCCTGAATAGCTATAGTTAATATACAAATAAACCCTTACAAGATCTTCAGTGTGCTTGTTGAGAGACTTGATCCATGAACAGGATGTGTTCTGACTCTGCGACTTGCTAGATAGTATCCATGAATCAGTCTTTCTGCTTCTAAACAGAGTTCCACATGCAAGTTTCTAGAGATGGCAAGGAACTGAAATAACACATAAATGGTTGTAATAATTTATACTGTACAGGAAAGAAAATAAGCTAGTGGAAAAAAATCCATGTCAAGGAATGGATCCAGATTTAGTCATGTTTAAGGGTAAACCTGATGAAATCAGTAGTGATTAACTCATTGATTTCAATGAGTCTACAAATGACTAAATCTGGATTCAGTCCTATTTGTATACCATTTTTATTTTCAGTCAATATTTTCTAAGGCCACTTGCAGAAAAGGAATATTGGTGATATCTAATGTGACACCACATCAGTGTAAATTGTGTTGTGTTTCCATACAGAGCCTCTAGTTCAATGCCAGAATGGATTGAAAGAGATCAGAATAATCAGTCTCATCCAAGAGTGCCCAAGTTGGTTGGCTGCTACTCATTAAAGGGAACATTTCCCACCAGAGTTAAATTATTTGGATCTTATGGATCCAGAGAGGGTTTCTTCAGAAGTGGCCTTACCACTCCCTCTTTAAGGCAACATGGGATCACTCCCGAGGAAGTGGGAAGCAAGCTTTTAGGAGATGTTCCTTCTCTGGCTGTTGGATGAAGCCAGGCTGATTTCTCTGGTTGACAGAAGGGGGCCAGTTGGCTTCCCATCAGGGTAACTGACAGGAACTGAGTGTTTTCTCTGGTGGGAAATTGGAAGAGTAAGCTCCCTGCATTGGTTTACAGACATGCTCAAGTGCAAGCTAATGATAAAGTTCAGAAGAGTTTATGAAAGTTTCAGTGTTACTTGTATGAGGTACAATTGTAGACTAGGATAGTGATGACCAACTAGCAGTTTTGCTAGTCCTGGTCCGTACATAATTGTTATGACTGACGTGGTTCCACTGACTTCTGTTTGCTGCATATTCTGGAGTGATACTTTCATAGCATGGACACAAATCTGCTTCCAGATTGCTTTGTATAACAAGAAAGCAAAACGAAAGTTGGCTTTCCCAACCTAACAAAAATAAGTTTATCAATAAGTTGATGAAGGGCCCTGTTTCTGATCCTGAATACAAAAGAAATGTGTTGAGGAAACTGTAGAAGAACAAAATGGCACTCCATATCTTGTTCCATCAAATGCACTGGGACAAGGCCTTCAGCAATTGGTTTGTCTCAGACCAGGGGTACACAGTTCTGGGGCTGTGGGTGCATTTCATAATTTGAGAATCTATATTAGACATTACTGCAAATACAAAATGGTTGACTTTAGAGGAGTTGATGATCACTAAGGACAGCCAATCTTCCCTGAAAGACTGAGCAAAAGGCAGCTCAGAGACCTGGATGGAAAATTGAGATGGCGGCAGCTGGATACCCCACTTTGTTGAATTTGAGCTATTAGTAAGAAAATAGTTGCTTCATTAAAAGAAAAAAAAACTTCGGAGTAGATAGCCTTGTTGGACATCATGGTTGCACAGCTTTATTTACCCCACCTTATGTTTTTGAAGCTGAGAAACAGTTACTTGTATAAGCTGATGCCAACATGAGAAGCAGAAGAAATGCCTAAATGGTGCCAGGCATAGGGAACTTGTGGCCCTCCAGCTGATTTAGCTTACATTTCCCGTGATCCCTCACCATTGGCTATACTGCCAAGACCTGTAGACCAGAAGTCTGGAGGGTCAGAAGATGCTTGCCCTTGTTGGTAGGGCAACAGAAACAAGCTCAAGAAAATCACATCTTCAGAGAGAAAATCACTAGGAGAACCAGTTATTGAACAGTCTTAAATTTTGGTAAATATGTCTAGTTACCTCCTCATAATCTTGTGTTTTGAACTCTTGGGAGACAGCATAAACTGCCTCTTCTGGATTAACAGCTTTTTTAAGAATGAAATCCACAACAGGATGAATTGAATTGCAAAATGATGATTCACTGCAGTTGATTAAAAGTCCAAAAGCATCAATAAGGTTAGCTGGAATCAAGTTTAAATCCTAGCCAAAATAACAACCGACAAAAGCAATTATTTCATATTAAAACTTTAAAAAATGGTAATAATACAAATAGTAGTTGTTTTGATGAACCAGCACGGTAAAAAATGTTTTTCTTAAATACCTTTTTGGAAATTTAGTTAAGGAACTTGACCAATTCTGTATGTGCATATATAATCCTATAAGTCTGGTCAATTGTATGCCCCTAAATGTATACCTAAAGAGTACAGTCCTACATTCATATTCACATAAGTGAATACAGGACTGCAGCCTTAAGTACAGCCTTGTAGTGATGACCCCAACTCATTGATGAAAATAGATTGTGTGACTGGCAAAATTATACATAATTGCACAATAAATATTAAAGTATATGACTTACCATCTGGCCAATTAAAGTATTTTCTTCTTGAATATGTTTTTTGGAGGAAGAAGAATCCATATCAATAAATGACCAAAAACTGGCTTGAACCGGGAGAATAACTTGTTGATCATTATTGTCTCCATATTTCTTTCCAGGTAGGAATATAGTGGTAGTTCTGCCTTCTAGCACTTGTCAGACATTCAAGTAGAAGCTACTTAACATGTGATGGTTTATAGAGCTTGTTATAAATACTACTTTTAATGATTTAAACTATGTAATATCCATATTACAGAATTTCTGACATTCCACTGCTTTTTTTGTCTAACAGGAGTATTGTGGCATTTCAGTGCTACACCTTAGGCATAATATTTGATGGGTTAATATGATATGAGCTAGCTCCAGATTTGTTCTTCCACAAGTGGAGGACTGGCCTGGATAAAACCCTATACTTATGAGAAAAATTGATATGTAAAATGCAGTGGGGGGGGCGCGAAAACATGTTTAAAGCAATGGTTAATTTTAAAATAGAATAGGGAATTTATGTCAAATTATCCTAATTTCAAAATTTTTTGTTTTTTTCTGTAACATAAATTAGGACTAGTTACATTCTGAAAAACATTAAAAGGTGCTTCTGTAGGTTTGGCTAAGTATCCCATGCCTTCTGTACAGTCTACACAATTTGAAATGTGGAACACGTGATAGAATTTTTCCTTCTAATGATTGCATTGAGTGGTGTTTGAGGGTATTGATTTTAATCTTTCTTACACTGCAAGCAGCCAGATTCTTAAAAGTGCTTCCAAAGCAGTTGTTTACTCTGAAATTGATACTTCGGTCATTTACTTTTGATGGAACATTTATATTATATTGTCAACACTTTCCCTGTGGTTCCTTGTGTGAGAGCTCAAAGAATATCAGTGTTTGTTCTTATGAAGGAAAAAAGCCCAGTCTAGTAGGCACATTTTTCATTATTACTTTTCCAGTCACTGCCATTTTACTATCATATTTTATTTTTTCTTAATTTCTATTAAGTTCTGCCAAAATATGTTTTATATTTCTGTGGCAGAGCACAGCCTAAGCATTCAGAAGACCCTAGGTTCAGTCCCTATCATCTCTAAAAAGATCAGGTAGCAAATGATTTAGTCTTCTGCCTAAGACTTTGGAAGTGCTTGCCAATTGGTAGTTTAATGCAGGGCCAAACAGAAAAATAGTCCACTTAGTATAAAGCAATTTCCTTTGCTAATTCAAATATAAACCATACTGCTAATATGGCATACTTAGGTGCACTTGCCTATTCACCTATCTGTTGGACTGCACAGAATGTTAGGGTGCACATAAAAATGCACTATATACCCTTTGACGTATGTGAAGTCAATTGAATTTTTTTTTCAGAAGTCTAGGAAAAGAATGATTAGATGGTGCTAACAGTTGCTAGGTTATATAAATAACAACAGACATTTCTCCTGAGTTTAGAGTTTTAAGACAACAGGTGCTCATAATGGAAATAAATTTTTAAAGTGGTCACAGTCTTTAGATACATTTAATAATTCCAGTTCACCTACCTGACTGCAGCTGTTCAAGTTTATCTTTTTTATGAGAGGATAGATTTCCAATGAAACAAATTCCACCTTTGGCCAACAAAGCACTATTACCCTGAATGCTAGCAGTTCCAGTTCCTTGTTTATCTTTGGATACAGTAGGAAAAATGTCACCCAATGGAATGTGTTGTATCCCCCGAGGAATAAGATAAATACTGTAATTTATAAGTCTAGGTGATGGAAAAAGGAAATACTTCATAATTCATGTAATGCTCTGAGGAAGGAAAAATAATTTTAAAAAATAATTGGAGCTCAAACTCCCAAACAGGAATTCTAGCCATGAAATTGTATAAGTTATATTTATGTAAGATCCCTTGGCAATTTTATTTTTTACATTTTTCTTCTTTTCTGTACTGTGTTTCTTTTTAAGAAAACACTGGAAAAATATTTTTAAAGAATTTTAGCCATGAAATAAAGAACATACACACTTTTAACCTAATTCAAATTAAAGCTAAGAAATTGATTAAACAGATGGAACAAAAGTTCTTATTACAGTAATAATGCAACACAATTGCAGAAGGTTAAAATCTAGCTGTTCCCTAAAGGAAATGAATATTAAAGAAAATTGAATTTAGTTACCTCTTCAATATTAGAGAATCAGTTGTCACTACTAAGAGGTCCAGGTAATCTGCTGTAGTGTCATCTCTGTCAGTTGTCTGTACTAAACTCAATAGTATAGCAAGTTTGAGGGTATTGTAAATGCCTGGTGGAAGAACTTGTGAGGCAAAACTATTGGCCAGAGCAGCTGTAAATCTCCAGTATGAATTTGAAGTCAAAGACAGCAGATGCTTAAAATTTTCACTGATACAGGAAGGGCCTAAAACAAACAAAAACAACTTAAGTTTTAGAATTTAAGTGCTAGATCCTGAATTGCAAAGACGTGGGAGTGTTCTTGTGAGATCCACTCAGGAGGTGCTTCCATCAATGGGCTGGATGAGGGCCAGTAAACTGAAGCTCAGTCCAGACAAGACGGAGGTCCTGTTGGTGGGTGGTTCGGGCTTTGGGGAAGGGGACCTGAACTTAGTCCTGAATGGGGTTGCACTCCCTCTTAGGGACAAGGTTCGCAGCTTGGGAGTGCTCCTCGACCCAGAGCTTTCATTGGAAGCTCAGGTGACAGCGGTGGCGAGGAGCGCTTTCCTTCAGCTTCGGCTGATCCATCAGCTGCGTCCCTACCTGGAGAACGACTGCCTGGCAACAGGGACACACGCGTTGATGACTTCCCGACTTGACTTCTGTAATGCGCTCTTTGTGGGGCTGCCCTTGAGACGGTCCAGATACTTCAATTGGTTCAAAATAGAGCTGCCAGGCTGCTGACGGGGACTGGGCGTTATGTTCACATGACTCCAGTCCTCCGTCAGCTTCACTGGCTTCCCATTGAAGTCCGGACCCAATTCAAGGTATTGGTTATGACCTATAAAGCCCTCAACGGCTTGGGTCCTGGTTACCTGAAGGAGCGCTTACATCCATATATGCCCGCTTGCCCCTTGAGATCAGCGGGAGAGGTCCTTCTCCTGGAACCCTCTGTGAAGGATATTAGGAGGGTAAGTACTCGGAGGAGGGCTTTCTCTGTGGTGGTGCCCATCTATGGAATGCGCTCCCCAGAGAGGTCCGCCTGGCGCCGTCGTTATTTGTTTTTCGGCACCAGGCGAAGACCTTTTTATTTAAGCGTTATTTTAATTGTTAATATTTATTTATTTTAGTCTTTGGCCAGGTCGACTCAAATTATGTTGTTTTTACATTGTGATTATTTATTTATTGTTGTGAGCCGCCCCGAGGCTTTGGTGAATGGGGCGGCATAGAAGCTTCCTAAGAATGAATGAATGAAAGCAAATTGGATCCAGCACAGGGTATATAAATAGGTTGAGAAACTTTCTAGTCAGGTGAAACAGCATTATATTGGTAGCACTGGATCCAAAAGAATCTTGTTCTTGGGTGAATATATTCTTATATAGGAAATACATAAGAGAGAGTTGTGGGGAGACAAATTCAAATGGCCATTAGGAACAACATGGATAAGGCTTTATTTATTTAGGCTAAAATGTTTGCCAGTACAGAACTGCAGCAGAAGACATGTTTAGCTAACTGGCACTTGGATTTATGATGTTTCAGACTAGAGACATGAAAACAATTAGCAAATTACAGGTAATTACCTTCTGGAATGCAAGGGGATTGGTAGGATGGTTTTAGGTACAGAACAACATGAGATCCTTGTGAATCTTAACCTGACAGCACAGAAATTGCTGTAAAGTTTTCATTGTTCAAGAGGAGTTTGCTTATGAAAGGAATTTGTGTATTCTGTAGCATGTACACTATACCTTAGTTGATTCTCCTCTGTGGGGTTTTCTGTCAAGTATACTCTGTAATTTTCTGGACTACCTCTCGCAAACATTGTGAGAATTAGGGGGAACATAATTACTGCTACAAGATCTCCGGCTGATTGGTTAAAAACACCAAAAATAATACTTCTAAGAACAAAGATTTCATATTAAGCAGGAATATATTTTGTGGCTTCTGAGTGTCAGTATAAGGGCCTAAGTTCCTATGGAGTGGTAAAAGGGTTATATTTAGGTTGAGAAAAGGATAAATTAAACATTTTAGTGCTGCAAAGCACTAGTGAACAGTTTGCTACTGAATTTTGGCAGCAAGCTACATTTTTTCTAATTTTTTGGATGGCACCCCACAGACTGTATAGTGTCCTGCAAAATGTGATCTGGGGTATGGAGGCAAAATGGCCTCCAGACATCCCAAAGGTGCCTACTCCTTGTCTAGACATTGTAGGGTTTCTAGCCACATTAAAATAATTGAAACCTCAAATGCAAAGGTTATTTCTGTTGTTACATCACACATTAATCAGTAGAGGGCACTCTGTTATTTCAGTTAAAATAGTGTAAGAAATGTAATGAATGCTTTATTCTTCAATAGCAGACAAATAGTGCCTTCCAGAATGCAATATGAACCATGTTGTATGTATATATTCATAATTCAAACTAGGTAGAATGTGAAATAGGATAATTAAAAAGTTCAAAATCTGCTTTTCATTTTTCACACTTTAAGAGTGTACACTATTTTAACTATATAAGGAAATAGATCTGAATGTGTGTGTGAGAAGCAGAAACGCCACATTAAGATGTTATTTCTTGGCTTCAATATTAAAGATTTTCAATAGGAACATCTACTTTCATTATCCTCTTGTCTTACCAGTTAGACTGGGGAGATGTATGCTGTTGACTTCCAGGCAAACTGTGACTTGAGAACAGCTTTGCATATATACTGGAATTCCTATAACTTTGTATCTGTTCCCTATTTTCATTTTATTGCATAGTTCATCTGTGTAAGGGAGGGAAAATATGCATGCAGAGATATGTTAATGAGCAGAACAATCCTAAAGGCCTGTGGTAGAAGACTTCCCAAACCCTATTGGCTCACCTTAGGCAAACAGGAGGAATCATGATGGGAGATACTTTTTTCCCTACCCCCAAACCCCAGCAGATCTTATTTTTACAAATCCTGACCTTCTGAAACAAATAGGAGGGAAAATTACTCTAGCATCAGACAAGGTGAATGAAGAGGATCTGTTCAATTCCTACTTTGGCTTGGTTTTCTCCCAAAAGAAAATCTATGACCTCTCTGACAAAGAGGAAACACAAGCTGAAGGAGCAGGATGACAGCTTGAGAGTTATAGGCACATGGTCAAGGGTAACCTAATTAGTTTGATCTCATTTAAATCTCCAGGCCTCGTGACTGCATCCTAGAGTAATAAAGAAACTGGAAGAAGAATGCTTGAGAACCATTGTCTTTGATAAATAATGGAGGATGGGAGAAGTGCTAGATGAATGGAAAAGGATTAATATTGTCCCCGTCTTTAAGAAAGCAAAAAATGGAGAACCTGGGAACTACGGACTAGTCACTCTGACATCAATCCATGGGAAATTTCTTGAACAGGTTATAAAGCACTCCGCAGACACTTTGAAAATAATGCTGTGATTACTAGGAGCCAACATGGATTTGTCAAGAACAACTCCTGCCAGACTAACCAGAGTTCAGTTTTTGATTGGGTAACCTCACTGGTAGACTGTGGGAATACTGTGAACCTAATATAGCTTGACTTCCAACAGTGCTTTTGACAAAGTGCCCCAAGATATCCTGATTAACTGACTAACCAAAAATTGGCCAGAAGGCACAGCTATCAGGTGCATCCATAGGTAGACTCAGATTGCTCCTCAATGGTACCTTCTCAAACAGGAAAAGCAACAAATTGGGTACTGCAGGGTTGAGTCCTGAGCTCAGTGCTCTACAACATTTCTAATAGTGATTTGGGTGAGGAAATAAATGCAGGGAACAATTATCAGATTTGCAGATGAGAGCAGGATCTCTTCTTGATCACCCTAGAGTTCAGGACATGGAATAATGGGCTCAAGTTAGAGGAAGCCAGATTCCAACTAAACATCAAGAACTTCTTGACTGTTAGAGCAATATGACAATGGAACCAATTACCTAGAGCGGTTTTGGGCTCTCTCACAGAGAAGTCATGCAAGATGCAGCCAAACAGCCACCTGAGAGGGATAGTTTAACTTGGAGTCCTGCACTGAATAGGGAGTTGGATTCATTTATCTTCTTAGTCCCTTCCTTTTCTACTTTTTATGATTCTAGTAGTTCCAAAGCCCCAGAAGTTGACCTGGCAGAAACAGCTAGCAGTTCTCTCACACCTGTGAGTATCCAGAATCTGCATGAGGACATGCCACCTCACTTGCGGAGTTCTTCCCCACCAGTTAAGCAAAGTCCCATTTTAACCCTGCTCAGCCATGCCATTAGCAGGAATTAGGTTATTATTATAGTTTGACTGGCCTCAAACTATTTGATCAGGCTTAAAGACAATAAAACTTTCAAATTCATATTTTTAAAAGTACTATGTTCCTCATATTACAAGTGTCCAAGAAAAGGTTCATTTCTAGAAACACTAGACAAATTAAAATGGCATATGCAGATACTTAGACATAACATAGCTATAACACCAATCTCTACTTTGCAATACTGTGTCATGTTAAAAGGCGTATGTGAGGCATATGATGGCCTATATATAGGCATCTTTTTCTACATTTTCAGGATTGAACTGCAAGCGGGGCCTCACATGAACAAATCCAGCTACTGTTTCATTAGTCAGCAATCTTCAGAAAGCCTTTGAAAAACTTACTGCCTCTTAGAAAATAATACATTTTCAGGGCATTTCATACAAAGGTTATTTCAGCTAGATCAGGAAAAGGTCTCATGAGTACAAAAATGGCTATTTCAAAGTAACAAAAGTAAAGCACAGAAATAGGGTTTTCTGCTTAAAGTTTTAACAGTTGCATTATGAAAACCAGAAATGGCAGTGATCACAAGAGCTATGAACAGTACATCCTGAAAAGAGGAAGGATGTTGCAAAATCAAGTTAGTACAGAACAATTTGCTCATAGGAAACAGAGGAGTATTGCAACTTCCAACAAGGATAGCATACAGTTGAAATAATTGTTTTGTTTTATGGGAGGCCTCCACATTTTCCTTTTCATTTTCTCTCCCTGCTAATAATACAATCATAATATCCTAAGCTACTGCTGCACTCCCATTATTTCTTTTGCATCTGTGGAAGCAATCTTTTGTTCAATGGGAAGTTTGCAGTTTGATAACTGGAAATGAGTGGAAATTCCTGATTCTAGATCAGGACAAGTCAATGGAGCTCTTCTGTAAGCTCCACTGATGTGTTCCAATCTGGAAACAAGCATTTCCAATCATTTTGGTTTGCTTCCCTGTTGTGCCAGTAGTTGCTCTTAGTAGCACATGGGCACATTAGGATACTGCCCAGACACTTCTCTTCAAATATAACACTTAAACTGAGTATTAAATCCTGCTTGTCGCAACTTTTTAATTCAGAGGCCAATATATTCAAGAAGTGAAAGTTTTCTGTCAAGTGCTGTTTTGTAGAATACATTGAATGCTAACATCTAGAATGTTAAAATTATCAGTTGCATGATTATAATATAAATTAGAAACAAAACATACCTCTTAGAAACACATTAAAAGATTGAAATCTGAAATGTACTTTACCACTGGAAAATCCTTGAAAAGCACTAATTGCTTGAGTGGCAACCATTTCAATCACTTGTTTATCTTAAAAAAAAGAATGTTACTTTTTAAATAGATGTCCAAGCTACAAATGTTTTAAAACACAAGCTTCCTTTCCACCCCATACATGCACCATCCCAGTTCTGCAGTATTCCAGACCCATTTATCTCTGACAAAATATTTCATTGTTTCACCTGCTGTTGACTTGGACAGTTCTGTTCAATCATTTCAGAAGACTTTAGTGTAGATTGCTGTCTTGCAAATGTAACTTTTCTTCATTTAGGGCACAATTCTGTGCATATTTAGACAAAAAAGCCATAAAATTTCTAGCATGGCTGGCTGAGGGTTGTACCTTTGTCTAAGCACACATACAATTGTACTTTTAGTAAATTTAAATAATGGGGGCCACATATTGAAGTAACCTAAATTGTCAAAACTACAATGTCTCAGAATAATTAGCACTATTCCACCTGAGCTATGTACCCGCCACTGGAATAATTGTCAAATGGCATAGGAAATGAAACAGAACCTGCAGTCATTTATGAAACCAAGCAAAGTCTAGATTTAGTGATGTTGCCATAAACTCAACCCCTTTTTTACCTTTCAGAGTTAAGTTAGTTTATGATCTCGTGGGGAACCTATAGAATGGATCAGGACATAAGACTATTTGGTAATTATGGCAGCCTGATCTTTAAATGTCCAACCTGAGATTTTGCCAATTGAATGGTCAAAGCACTGGCAAAAGGATTCTTTGGGTAATGGAAGAGAGCAGGTAAGCAACACAAGTCAATAAGTTAAGAAGTCAATCCTGGGGATTCCACGGAGGAACAACCACCAATTCTGCAGCTAGTTTATTGTGACTTCATTTGCTTCCCCCATTTTTTCCCATTTTCCATCTCCAGGCAGGCATGAATTACATGCTTGATCTGTGGCAGTGTCAAGAAAACAATGAGGCTTTGGATCTTGTGAATTCAAAGCTGCTTTCAACTTGGCCTTAGAATCCCTTGTTTCATATTTTGTATGCCTTCAGAGCTTCTCTTAGATCTACAGGGGTAGAGGCAGTGGAGGTGGTATTCAGTGGGCAGCTTCAGCTTGATTATGTCCTTGGGAGTTGGAAACCCCCAAACTTAGAGGTATCCAATCATCAGCACAGGGTAAGAAAAGCAGAAGTGTTCTTTGCCTCTTTGTCCTTGTGACTGTCGAGCAAGTGTGATTTGGAAATGGGAGAGTGAAGGAATCTGAAAAGAGGTTTAGGATAATTTGTATCCTAGCACCTCTAGTCTCCTCTTAAACTTGGAATGTTTCTTTCCCTGCTTCTCTGAGGCTGAGTTTTGGTTGTGGTTTTCTCCATATCAACTGTGAGACATCAGGTGAGCACATTGGTGTTCCCACACTGCCTTTCCAAGTTGGAACAATTTCTCAGAAATATTTTTTGGTCTGGTCCCTTCTCCCTATGGTCTATCTATTTTTAATATTACCTGCCTACCCAAAATAAGGGTACCTGATTTTACCTAACCATATATCTTTGGGAAGAGTTCCCCAACCACCAACTGTAGGTTTTCATGTGGGGAGCAAAGAAGTGCCACAAGCCAAGTAGAAGCAGCAAAAATGATTCATAAAATTGAATTTTTGCTTATCAAACAGGAATTGGGAGTTAACCCATTGCCCTGAATCTTATTTCCTCATTAATAAAATGTTATTCTTGTTTATCAGAGTTGTCATCTTTATTTACTTACAATTTAAGAAACTGAAATCTTAACATTTTGTTATCTTCTGTAAGAAACTAGCAATCGCCAATCACATGCTTTATCTGAAACATCAGAAACTTAACCAATTCTAAGATATTCCTAATGTAAATTTATTATTAATAGAATGCTGGTAGATTAAGTTATGTATCTGGGACACATTAAGACCAATAAAGTTGTAATTCTGTAAAAGACACAAGGCACTTGTGCAGGATCCACTTCAAGCTCTATTTACAGGGATAACTTTTTGTATTTTTGTCCTCTGTATTTTTTCTTTGTTGCTCAACAGCATTGCTCACTACAGTCAAATGAATAATAGCAATTGAAATTTTATCCGTTGGCACAAAATAATTGCATTGTATAGTTTTTACCACCAAGTACTCGGTATTTCTTGTCTTCTCTTAGTGGTGAAGCACATAAACTGCATAGAAGGTTGTTTTTTAGCATTGAAGATTCTGTAGCTCCAAGAGTATGTACCCTAATATACTGAAACCCTGTAAGTGAAGCAAACAAAACTTTAAACTCAGTTTTCTAAACATTATTGAATGCTAAACATTCTTGGTTTTTAGTTTAATTTCATTCTCATTGCTATGTAGGAAATGTCATCTGGCAATCTTATTTAAACAAGATTCTGTAATTCAGTTCATTTGGGAAAGTGGTAAATACCACCTTTTGGAGCCACAAGGTAATGATATTGACATGCCATGCTACTTTCCAATTTCCATGTATTGGCCACATAGAAACAATGACTAGATTTGCATGATCATGGAAGGAAAATAAGCCATAGTGGCTTATTTGTTTGCCTCATGCATGCTACTTGCAAATCTGCTCATTATGCTCACCAGCCACAGTATGTCTTGTTGTCCAAATGTGGTAAGAGGAGGTAGCTGGGATTCAAGGTGATCTGTAAACCACCTCAACCACCTGCCTTCAGGTTCAGACATCATTACATCCCTTGCTGAACAAGGGTAATTATGCTAATTAGATAGCTCATGGCTGGCATGCTCAGGTATGCAAAATAAGTGATAGTAGCTTATTTTCCCTCCATGATTGTGCAAACCTTCCAGTGTTTTCTTGGAAGTGGAATAGATTATAATCTTTGAATTTTTATTCTGTTGACCACTAAAATTCCATTCAGAACATTATTGCTGAGCAATACACTCAATAGCAAATGATTCAGTAGTAGTAATCATACTAAGGAGTAAGATTTCCCCATGACATTAAAGTCCAGTCATGCCTGACTCTAGGTGGCAGTGCTTATCTCCATTTCCTAGCTGAGGGAGCCAGTCTTCGTCCACAGACAGTTTCCGTGGTCATGTGGCCAGCATGACTAAACATCGAAGTGCACAGAATACTGTTACCTTCTCACCGAAGTGGTACCTTTTTATCTACTTGCATTTGTATGCTTTCGAACTGCAAGGTTGGCAGGAGCTGAGATGAAGCACGGGAGATTACCCCGTGTGCGGATTCGAACTGTTGACCATCCGATCAACCAGCTCAGCAGTTTAACCCACTGCACCACTGCATCCCTTTGGGCAAAGGTTTTGAATGCCTATTTACCAGTTTCCCAACTGTTGGACATTCTAGGCCATTCAGAAATATTTTACAAACATGTCAATCTCAAATAATGGGCTGGTCCAATGGTAGTGGGTTATTGCAATTTCAAGTGATTGTTCACAGTCAGTTACAGACACGAGGGAATACATAATCAGCATACAGAATTTGTTTATTTCCCCGCCATGATCATGTGAACAGGGTCACTGCCTCTTTCAGGCAAATACATGGAAATGGGAATGACAACGTTAACTGGTGTTTTTATTTCCCCCACCCTTGGTTTATACAAAACTATTTTTTTTCAGTGTAGGGATGTTTCAAAATTCCATTTAGGCATCATGTATTGGGGTTCTGGGGAGAGCAGCATATATGAAATTCACTAAAAGCTCAGCATTCCAAACTGATAAGCTATATATCAACACCATGGTTTATAGTCTTAAAGACACTTCTAATTAGATTTCTAAAATTGCTCTTTTTCATAAATGACATTTATTCAATATCGCATTTTTAACCATTTTGACCACATAAAGAACAAATTAACTTAGTGGAAATATATTTGATTGTGAAGGTGGAGCCATTAGAAGAAATGAGAGCAATTCTATGCTTTCTCCCTCTATTCCTTACTGTTGTATAGAACTAATGTATTGCATGATAGTAGAGGAATTACCCTATGACATGTTTATGTGAGTCCACAATGGGAAATCACAGGTCTATATGCTCTTACAAAGTGGTTTCTACATGCTATGTATTTGCATAAGATGTTCTGTATACAATCTACCATAAGAGAATTGCAAACTTAGAATATAATTTTTAAAGGCTGAGCTTGCTATTGTTAGTTGCTTTGGAAACAACAGAACCTGAACACAAGCTTCCGGTTGGCATACCTTCAGAAAATTGACATGTTTCCTCAGAACAAACAAATCTTGCTCCTTGTGTATATTTTGTTATAGTAGTCGTTGCAACCACTATGCCCTCTAACATATAAAATCTCTGAGAGGTGTAATCAAATGGGAATTTGAAAAGATTGCAAAGATAGCTGGGCAGGGAAGGTAAGTGTGTCAGTTTCAACACTATATTCATCTAAGAAAAGAAGAATAAAAATTCACATAATATTGCTGTTTATAAATCATGAATAGAGACACTTAAAATATAATCCAAGGCCAAGATCAACCACACTATTATATTTCCTATCTCTATGTATGGGTGTGAAAGCTGGATAGCAAAAAAAGCTTGACAAAAAGAAAATTTATGTATTTGAAATCTGACACTGGAGGAGAATTTTATGAATACACTGGATTGACAAAAAAAGTGGGTCCTAGATCAAATCAAGCCAGAACTTTTCTTAGAAGCAAAAATGATGAAACTGAGGCTGTTATACTTCAGGCACATCATGAGAAGGCAAGATTCTGGAAAAGACAAAGCCAGAGAAAGTCAAAGGCAGCAGAAGAAGGGGAAGAACAACGATAAGGTAGATAAAGATTCTATAATGCCACAGCCTTGAATTTACAAGTGCTGAGCAGGGTTGTCAAGGACGACATTTTGGAGGACATTCATTCATGAGAGAGAACTTGATAGCACATAACACATGAACCTTGTGAATTACATGATATAAGAAAATCTCAGGTAAGAATTTTATATCCTAAAGCAGCTCCCATCATCCCCAGCTTTCATGGCCATCCTAAGGCAATGACTCAGATCTTCCCAATTTGCCTGCTTAGGGGACCACCTCATCGCTGTATGAATTTCACTGATTCTCTCATTTAAGACACCATCCTTGTCATATTCTAAAAGACATAGCCCATTCTAAAGAGTAAAAGTACTGCTCTGCGTGACGAATAGTGCCTAGTAATGTACAGTAGTTATACAATACTTTTTTAAGTGCAGCAAATGCATTATTACTTTATTTCTAAGAACCATATTAAATAGTCCATTACAGCTGGAGTTTGCTCAATTTGCATTTATCGCTCCAATATTTGTTTGTTTAGACAACTTATATTTCTCTCAGCTTTGGGTGTAACTTCCTCCATTCAACAACAGTGCATTTATGGAACTGACCCTGCCTTAATATCAAGAGGAAAAACTGTATCAATGTATGTGCCTTGAGGATATTATGCATGTGATTTGAGTGCTCTGCCTTCTTGTCTAACTATTGTATAGAATAGCTTGCTATGATTAAACTCCAGCTTAAGGAACATGTTTCAGATGAAATACTGGACCAACACAAAGAAAGAAAGGTGAGTGTGAGACAGTAGGGACAATATCCAATCCTTCCCCTATGCTAGCAGGTTTCACTGCCACTGCAATGGAAAGGTAATGGATCCAAAAGCAGCTGGAAAAAGTGGAAACATATGTACATTTCCAAAATAGGACAGGTCAACAGAGCTTATACAAGGCAGAGGAAGATACAGTGGGGAGAGGTTAGCTACACTGTAATGAAATAAGGTGTACAATAATAGGAAGTTGACTGTCCTCTCATTGTCCTATAATTCAAATAACCTGGATGCCCTTAGAAACAAAGCTCCTGGGCTGAAACTGCTGCTGCAGAATGCCAGGTCAGTTAGTGGTAAAACAACTGCTATCTAGAACTTGGATGAGCATGCTGACCAGACATATATCACAGAGACCTGGCTGAATGCAGCCAGGGATGTGAGTAGCCTCTCCTAAATATCTCCACCAGGGTTCTCTGTCCAGCAGCAGGCAAGACCTGGGGGATAGAGGTAGACTGGAAGTGGTCTATCAGAGTTCTATCCCCCTTTCCAGGTATCCTGACCCACAGGCTGTTGAATTTAAGTGTGTGTATTTGAAGGTGGATTCTCAGGTCAAAGTAAAGATTCCATTAGTGTACTGGTTACCTGGCTGTTCTCTTTCTAGTTGGAATCAGTGTTGGAGACCTTTGACTTGTTTTACTGGGGGACTTCAACATCCACACCAAGACTACCCTTTCAGGAGTGGCTCACAACCACATCTGCCATGACAACCATGGGTCTGTCCCAAATGGTATCTGGCCCCACCCATATTTCTGGGCACATGCTGGATCTTGTTTTCTGTGATGGATGGGGTACTAATGATCAGAGTGTGGAGGAACTCTGTAGTTCCATTGTTATACACAGATCACTATCTGGTAGGTTTTAGACTTGCTGGTGATTGGAACCTCTGCAGGGGTGGAGTATCAGGATGGTTTGCTCCAAGATGCTGATGGATATAATGGCTTCCTGACAGCTTTTGTGGATTTTCCTGTTGCCTTGGCAGGCAATTCTGTCAAAGTCCTGGCCAATCTTTAGAATGGAGAAATTACCCAGGCGGTGGACATAATCATTCTCGAGTGCCTTCTCTTGCAGAGTAGAGCCACCCCAGCACCTTGGGCAATATCCCCAGGTTTTCTGGGGATCTGGTGGCAATGAAATGGGTGAGATGATGGCTAGAAAAACATTGGCAGAAATCTCAGATTGAATATGATTGAATACAGGCTACAGCCTATATGAAGGCCTACTCTGTGGTGATACGAGTAGCAAAGAAAAGATTATTGTCTGCTGCAAAAAGCTGTTCTATGAAGTTGTTTCAGGTGGCCAGGGGTGTTTTATACACTAATCCTCAGAAAGAGAACTTAGATCTCTCAACAGCCTGCTGTGAACAATTTGCTCAGGACTTTGCAAAGTTATTTGCATTACTCTGACTTGTGGCTCTTGTTGATTCTGTCCCAGAGTTTGTATCTTGGCTCCTGCTTGTCCAGTGTTATTGGATACTTTTTAATGTGTATAGCCTTGGCATCTGGACAGGATTGTTGGAAAGGTGAGAGCTATCTTTCTGGATCTTCACCTTTTCTAGCTCATTCTGACTATGGAACACGCTCCGCCTGGTGCCATCATTATAAGTTTTAATTATAAGTAATTTTAATTTTGAACAATTGTTTTGATTGAATGCTTTAATTGTATTTTATGTGATTTCTCAATTACTTTAAGCCATCTTGAGGCAATGCAAAGCACGGGTTAGAAATGTTTTAAATCAATCAATCTTTAATTTTTGTGTATTTCTTTGAATGTTTTAGTTGTGTGAGCTGCCTTGAGTCTCAGTTACTGGGAATGGGTGGAATATAAATAACTATAAAGATACTAACAATAAGAGCTCTGTTCACCTATGATCTATCCCATTCTGGAAGCAAGAATTTCTGGGGTGCTACAGAAAGTAGTAGTTCCTGAAACTCTAGCGGTGTATCTCATGAGTGCAGTGGAACTAATGGGGGTACAGCAGCAGTTTTGGAAACTGTCCTAAAAATACAATCAGTTTTTAAAGAAACTTGAAATACAGTGCAAGCCTACCTGAGCTTCAGTTTGCAGCTGCTGAATTAGTGACAGTTTTTTGACAGCTGTAAAACATGCCTAGAATTCAAAACCCAATGCATTTTGTGAGAAAATTGTTTTTTAAAATGATCATAAAAGGGATTTTAAAAAATCAAAATGTATGATTCCTTACTGACTGAAAAATCTGAGTGGCCTTCACAGGTTCATGAAGAATATAGTTTCCAAGAGTAGCATCCAACTCAGTAATATCAGATGGATTTACTGATATAAGAAACCGAAGAACAGCATAATTTTCTTTTGAGTCTGTAAGACCAGAATGGAACAAGCTTTACCATTTCCCACATAGTGGTATAAACTAAATCATTCCAAAGTTTCAATAATATTTCTTTAAATGGCTAAATACTACCATTGTATAATTTACAGTCATTAAGAAATTTCTGAAGGCCGCCACTCCTGTCAAGATAAATCAAGGCATTTTCCTTCATTTTCAGAAGATTTGGCCTCATTTTCTCTGTATGGCTTTGCTTTCTTACCAAATCCTTATTACTGGAAAGAAGCAGAGATGTACCTAAAGTTATGACAATAAAATGTGTATTAAGATCATTGTAACAGCATTTACACTTCTAGAATACCATTTAGAGCTATGTTTGTTATTGTTATTAAATAGATATAAATGTCACTTTGATTTGTGCATTTTATCAAACAATGGAGAGGAATCATGAAAAGAGGGCTTCCAATTGTGTTTGGTATAGCATGCTATATTGAGAGCTTTGGCTATTGGGTGGTCTAGCAATATGATTAATAAACCATTACATGTAGTAAATAGAGGGAAGGAAATGGTGGTTCTCAGCTGAGTGACTACCTGAATAGCACTCTCAGATCAAGAATATGACCACAGATGTTGTTTTCATATTCTTGCTTCAAAATCCTGCATGTTGTATATTGATACTACAGTGGATCCACCAGTTAAGATTACCATTGCTTCCAGTAGTTGCTAATGAACCTTCTTTCTGTTTCAGACATTCCGGAACCAAGGTAGTACAGCCCTCTTAATATGGACCCATTTCAGAATGCAAGCATGAAAGTTGCCCGTGTGAAAGCAGTCTCACATTAAATTTGTATTTAGGATGACATTAGATGCATTTTAGGGTCCTCCTGGCTTCCTTTTTAAAACATACTCTCCGTTTTTCTCTCCCCCACCTCAAAATCACTGCCAAGCTGTTTTTCCATTCACAGACCTGGGGCATGGATGGTGGATACAGGTAACTGTAATACTGTTTACTTCTGCCAAGTGCTGCCTCGTGGGTCAGAATGTGGCATAATGTTCTCTGTATCCAGTTACAGGTATGTACAGCCAAAATTAGAATAAATGGATTACATCTTCGTAATTATCTTCGACTCTAGAACTCTTGAGATGGTGATTGAGTGAACAAAGAAAAGTGCACGCCCGCACACACATGACATTTATCTCCTAAAACCATCACAGAGGATCAATGGTAACAAGAATTTAAATTGTAACTGTTCAACTTTCTATATTTATATAGAAATATGAAATTTTATATATTTTCCCTTAATATTTTATGCCAGTGACAGACCTTCTCCTTCCTCAGATTGGTTTTCTCCTTTCTCCCCCATCTCAGATTTGTCTAATGCAGCTGCTGTGTTTTCAGCAGCCCTTCCCTCACCAGGAAGAGGGCATCTGTCTATATTCCTTGTCTGCCTCTGGAGGAGGAGGAAAAACTAGACTTCAGACTACCCTCTTCTTAGACACTCATAGAAACATACAATTAACAACATGGCCTGTACTTCAGACTATGGTTTTCTCATGCTTTTGCTAAATCTCAGGTTTTAAAGGTGTTCTGTATAACAACTCCACTATTGATAGAGTTTTTCAACTTTGACAGGATGAAAAGTATTAAAGGCACAGAATTTACCTCAGGTTAATTAAAATGAGAGCCAGTGGAATGTAATGTTTCAGAGTGCTGGCTTGGGACTTGGGAGAGCTGGATTCTTATCCCCACTCAGCCATGAATACCCGCTGAAGATTTTGGGCTAGTCACTTTCTCTCAGCCTAACCTACCTTATAGGGTTGTTGTGGATAAATTGGAAAGGAGAAACTTGTAAGCCAGCTTGGGTTCCTTCCAAGAGGAAGAAATGAGGGATAACAATGCAATATTGTAACACCACCACCACCAATAGATATTTATTTCTTGTTAATATCACGCTAGAACTGCAGTCCTATGTAAACCTGCAAGGAAGGAAGTTCCACAGAACTGTCTTGAAATTACTATAGGGTCAGTATGGTGTAGTGGTTAAGAGTGCAGGACTAAGACTCAGGAGTTTGGGTTCTAGTCCCCACTCAGCCCTGCAACTCATCAGCTGACTTTGGGCAAGTCTCATACTCTCAGCCCAACCTACCTCACAGGGTTACTATTGTGAGGATGAGATTGAGAGAAAAATTATGTAAGATGCCTTGAGTTCCTTGGAAGGAAAAAGGTGGAATATAAATAAGTTTAGTTTTGGAGTATCAGTGTAATTACTCTTTTAATAGCCACATTCATAAAAGAGAAAAACACCTACTTCCTTCCTCAGTTTTAGCACATGCTCATGGATTAAAGGGTGAAGTATAAACAAGGAGGTTTATTCGCATTCCCAGTTATTAAACACAAGTATTAAAAAACACTGCTTTGCCCACACTAAAGCTTTTCACACTGAAGCAAGTCTGAGACCTCAGTTGGTGTTCTGCTGCCTAGCAACAGCCAAAAGAGAGTAGCAGGAGACTGAAGATACCTTTTCTTGAGTCTGGTAATGAATATTGATTGAAAGTGTTTTTTCCCATTTGTTGGAAGATTGGCTGTTTGAAAGGCCTGTCATGCCTTTTCATTTTGGTCTAGAGACACCTATTAAAGCATTAGGGTATATTATCCATAATGGAAGTGGGGCTTCTAGTTGGCCATTTGGATTGTGTATAGAGATACTGTGTGGTACTATGGTTGGAGGTTGCTGCTGAGGGTGGTTTTTTATTTTCCCTTTTGCTGTTAGTTCCTTAGTATGACCTACTTAATGAGGTTGATGTTATTGGCAATGGATATTGTTAACTGACAAACTGGTATATTTTAACTCATTTAAACCTTTGATGTTTTAAATAAACAGTTAATTGTTGAAATGTCAAGGTAACATTGTAATACAGCAGTATTATGGTTTCTCCTACAGCAATCATGACTTATTGTGTTGTGATTGCATTTAAAGGGTTTATTTGCTTGCAGAAAATGCAGCTGATAAATAAACTAGATTGGTTCCAGATAATGGACTTTACTGAACCTTTACTGGCAGTAGTGGACTTTACTGAACCTTCCTTCTCACAACAGCCTCTAAAAATGCTACACTGAGTTGCGTTAGGGATGGCATAGACTGTGGGTGCAGGGATCGCACAAAATCCAGTGAAAGTACTTTTTAATAAGCAAAAAAGTTGAAACAGAGAAAGGCTGGGTGGGGAGAAGTGTTCTTAGCCAGGGAATTGCAGGCTTCATGCATGTGAATACATTTTGCACTATTTTATGTAATGGAGTTACATGTTACCTTTGCTGGATAAATTACTGGCATTAGAATAATAGCCTGGGTTTAATCCATCCTTCAAGGTTCTTCATCATTCTTGGTGTAAAAAGGTAAAAAATCAAGCAGGGAAACATAATTTTAAAAATAATATTTTTAAAAAAAGACAATGAACCTACAGGGTGTATTTTCGCTTCTTAAAGGTGTTTCTCTAATATGGATGTAAAAATGTTTATTTTGACCAGCATGGCTATCTTCATGTTGTGTGACAACAATACATTTTTGAAAAGAGAAAACATGGCACTCAGACATCATTTCAGGGGCCACAGAATATTGGGGATCCCCCCGCTTTGGTCAGTGAGAGAGGCTGCTATAACCTTGTGGGGGGAAAGTGATCTGACACCATCCCCCTGACTCTTCACACCCAGCATAGAAACAACTACATTGGTTGGCCTCTGAAGTTGGGAAAACTGACCTCACAGAGGAGAAAAGGGGCATTCGGCCCGGCAGGGAGGGAATCTGGGTGCTCCAGGGGAGAAGCTATTCTGTGGCCTCTCTAGCCTCCTTGCTTCCCCTTCTGAAGCACCTGTGTAATGAAAAATGCAGGGTGGGAGGATGGGGAGGTAAAGATTGCTTCTACTCTTCCTTCTGCCCTTGAAGATTGGAAGGCTCTGGACTTCTGATCACCAAGGCATAATTAATAAGATTGTGCCCTAAAATTCCCAGTTATTTTATTTGAAATGAGTAATTGAAGTCAAATTTTGCTCTGGACTTATTTTTCATCTATTTTCCCTTAGCATGCTAACTATGAGGGATCAAAGAGATAGTTACAGACTTGTATTCTTTTTGTAAGCTTCTAATTTAAAAGAAAAACTCCTTTGGGGGCCTGTTTTCATAATACACAAAACCAAATATCCTAAGTAAATACATTATTCCATTTGTTTAGAAGGAGTTGGAGAAGTTGCTCATTTGTGCTTGCATTGGTCTGATACGCAAGTTCTTTGTCTAGATCTTGTTCTACATGGCTAGCTTGCTTTTATTGTTCCATTTTCAAATTTGTATGGATGGCAGGATAAACATCTGAATTATGGCCACAGTGGAAAGTACACTATTTGCTTCAGATGGTAAATTCTATCTTGGTTTCATTCCTTTGAGAAGGTTTTATTTTCTCCCAACCATCTCCATCTCCAAAGTTACCTACTCTATTTAGGATAAATTGTATATGCCCAAAAATAAAATAAAAAAATAAAATAAAATAAAGTGGCCGGGGAGGGGAGTCTAGTTTGGCCAGTTAGTCTTGTTGTCAAACAGCTTTTCTTTGTCAAGTAATTGAAATCAAAGTACAAATTACAAGGAAGTATGAATTTTAATATAATCACATTGTAATATATTAGTTTTCTACATACAAGAAGGAATTGTCCCTTCTACAAATGCAGTACTTTTCATCATCTATTTCTTGAGAAAACAGAAACAACACTTAGCTTCTTCTACAAGAAGAGGAAAACAGGTTATCAGCAAGTATTTAAGGCTAATTTGTTCCATCCAGTCAACCTAGAAAGCCTATTTCTAGGTTTTACTATTAGAAAGAATCAAATTTATTGAGTAAAGTAGTGGTCTGCAGCTACCATGACTAAAAATGGAGCAATTTGATCATGAAGTGAACAACGTTGCACAGATCTTTGATTCTTATTAAAGTTAGGAAATTATTGGGAAGCATGGCTAATTAAATCAATTTGCTTTAAAGAACAAGCAAACAAATTGTACTGGGTAAGTTTATCTTTTTAAAAAAAATCCCCAGTGATATACAAAAATAATTGCATAGTAACATTTCAAGCACTAAGTCACCATAGATCATTACAAAGGCCTTTAAATGTGCTAAAGCGTGCTGCTATTAAAGACAGCCATCTGGATATGTTAATGTAAACTGGAGGGCAAGCGATCAGGGTCCTTGCTTAAAAAGAGTAACAAGGTTAAGAATAGCTATTTGTTCTAAAATATGTTTGTGCAGCAGGTGTAACAGTCAAAGTATTCAAAAAATGCCCAAGTTCCTCATATTACAGTAGAGAAATTTTGTTCAACATATCAAATGAGGCACACATTTTAGAAACTGTTCACCATCAAAACATTTCAGTCCATCTTAAAATGACTTGTGATGTATTTGTTATTTCCAGAAATCTTATTGAAATAAGTCTTCAGGAGGTGGTGCATAAGAAAATCCAATGAATGCATCATCAGCTTCCAACACGCTGGCATTTACAATATTATAATCAGAAGAAATGCAAACTGAATAGGGTACCATCTCGTCTGTAAATGTTGTGTCAAAGTTCCTGATGTCATCTGGGCCAGACTAGGAAATAAAGAGAAATTGTCTATATTTCTAATTTGGTTATGCACACTTCAATTCATATAAGGAAGTTCTATTCATTTTCCCACAAAACAATTTAGCTATATAACCATTATATGACTACTTTACATCAAGAGTCATATGAGTATTTTACAAGAGTCAAAAGACTATTTTTCCAGTCCTTTTTAGATAGTTTCCTCCTAGAAGTTATTTGGTCTCATGGTAGATTTTTTTTCCACAGCCTTTTTAGAAAACTAACATTGAATTTTAGTACAGTTATTCTTACTGTTTTTTCAGGTGTTACAACTTTGTGGCTCAAGCTCCTATAAGATACTATAAACTATTTTACCTACCACATTAGGATTAAATGGCGGTGGGATCTTTTTTTGTAGGAGATCAGTCCAGTTGATAGATTCAAAAAAAGGATGTCTTTGAATTTCAGCCTGAAGCAGAAGATACACAGGTGTTATTTCAAACATGCTACATAACTGATAAATATCAGAAAGTTCCCCTTCAGTGAGCACAACTTTTTGTAACATGCTAGAGCAGTACACCTGAGTTATGTTCAGAAGGCCAAAGTTCTAGAGGAGACTGTCTAGGAAAGAGAAACAAAACATAGTAGGAAGAAAATCAATGACCTAGGGCTTCTGAAGTAATTAATTACCTAAAGTAGATAGGATATTTAAGTTTTTTTTTTTTAACGGAACCTGATGAGTTTGTAGCTTAAACAGTTACATAAAAGGCAATAGACTAAAAAACTCCAAAATATTAAAATCAAATGATGCAACTGCTATTTGAGTAACATAGTATAGTTAAATTAAAACTGCAGCTAAAACTTTTCAGGGAATCAACAGTGTTTTTGGCTAGGAATATTGGCTGAGCTGTGAATAGGAATATCTCTAGTTACTCTAGTTATTATAATATCTCTAGATATTTATAGAATATCTCTATAAATTTCAAATATAACATGAACTCATAGATAGCCTCAAGCAAGTGAATATCTGCTTCAGCTCACCATATACAATATGGTGACACTATTCATCTGCCCTATATATTTATAAGGACACTTAAGTATGTGAATTTCTTTGAACACCACAAAGGTTCTATATAAATGCAATTATATACTGTATGAACTAAATTGCCTTTTGTAACTATCTGCTGCTATATTCTACAATCTAACTTAGCTATGTTCAGGTATCACAGAAATTAATGGGATTTTGGATAAGTCATGATAAATTCCTTTCCTGGTTATTTCAGTGGGATTTAAGACAAAGAACTTTTCCTGGATTTGAGCTTCCATTGGTCTATTTTGATTTTTCCACTTCATGGAAAAATGATTTTCTAAATGGAAAAATGATTTTCTAAATGGGTAGAACTACAGCAGCCAGATTCAACTGATTAATATCCATACTCAGGAAATACCTTTAATAGATCAGCTACTGGTTTGTCCCTCAGAATACCTGCAATGTCTTACCAATGACTTATTAATTCAGCCTAACCGTCTTCATTTTGAATGTAGGTCTAAATCTGCAAATCTCATTGCCATAGCATTTGGCCAAATGTTTGGACTACAATATGTCTTCTCCATTCTCTGCTTTTTAATACTGTCTAGTTCTGGAAAACTTGAAAGCATTGCCTTTACTAAAGGTATATCCCAACTATGGATTCAGGGGTTTTCAAATTATTAAATGTTTGTTTATTTACTGCTTGGTTACACTTCTGAGACATTACGTACAAAGTCTTCTTTAGCTCCGAGTCTGTTTTGCCTCTCTTTTTCCAAAAGGTCTTCCAAAATAGACCAAGCTGTAAGACTGATGCCTGGCCTTAAATGAAGGGGTTTGTGAAGAATGTTTTCATACATCTCAGCAACATCACGGCAGTAAAAAGGAGGCTGGAGAAAAGGGAGAAGACACACAATTAGAAAGCTAATCTAAGAAGACTTTTTAAAGAAATATAGATAAAGGTAAATTTTTGAATGATCGGTCATATCTAATTAGAGTTCACCTCAAAGATTATAAGAGAGGAGAACAGTGCAGCAAGTTCCTGTTGTCAAAGCAGCACAATAAGCCTTTTTCTTTTAAATGGCTAGACTACCACTTTAGTGTTCTTATCTCTTGGATACTTACTGAAGTCATATCAGGCTTTCTTCATGGCTGGGATTAAGTAAATACAGCTGATATACATAAGAGATTTTTAAATGATTTTCAATGGATTACATTTTCAACTTTTCCAAATACACTGTTAACCCTAAGCCCTAGAGAGACTATTTTAGTAATTTAACAAAATTAAAAATGAGTTTTTGAGGGATATTTGCTATATCATAGAATCATTATGGACCCACAGCATAAAATTTACCTCCAAAATACATTTTGTGACAAATTTTTGTCAGGATCAGAACCTGAGTGACCCTGCAAGTAAGTTCCTGCAGAACCAGGAGTATGTGTGCAGGTGCTTGTACGGAACAGCTGCAGAACAATTATGCATTGCAGCTGGAGGCCCTGGAAAACAGCATGCAAGGCCTTCCTGCACTGCAGCTTTTTGCTATAACTTCCTAGTGCTCTGGTTTTCTGCATTGTCTCATCTGAATCCTGGTACCTGCCTGTTTCCTACCCAGCTCCAGCTGTTCCTACTTCCATCCATCTTCCCTGACCTCACCTTGCTCTAGAATGTAACTTTCTTTTTGGAACTTAACTTTTGGAGTGTGCTCTTAGATTATGTAACCTTAGACTCCTCTGCTTGAATCTGCTATTTCACTGGCTTTTGACTTTCAATTGTTAAACAAATGTGCCTCTTGCCTTCTGAAACCACTACAGGACTCCACCTTGTACCTATGTCCTGGTCCTGGCATTCTGACCATAGCTGCCAGCTGCCCATACCCCAGACTTTACAATTTTGGTTTTTGAAAGAGAGAGAGCACCAGTGTAATGTAGTAGGCAGAGTGCTGGAATGCTCCGATGGAGCTTTGCTACAACAGAGCAAAGCTCAGGGAACCAAGGTTTAGATGCCAGGAAGCACTTCCTGACAGTTAGGACCCCGAGGGTGAGGAATGGGCTTCCACGAGAGGTCACTGAGGCCCCATCAGTGAGGGTGTTCAAGGATAGGTTGGACATGCACATGGTGGGCATGTCGTGGGAGGCCTGGGAGGTCCCTTCTGACTCGCTCTGTTCCTATGTTTCTAGAATCTTGAGTGGTTTTATTCCCTACTTGGTCACAGAGCTCACTGGTAACTCCATCTTAGCCTAACCTAGGGTTCCTGTGAGGATAAGATTGAGAAGAGGAAGATTATATAAGCTGCCTTGAGTTCCTTGAAAGAAAAAGATGGGATATAAATATAATAAATGTCAAATGTAATTTTCTGAAATGCAAAACAATCAGTTGTTCCAACTGTCATGATCACAGGAGAACAGCTTTCTTCCATTTGACAATATTTGCTTTTTATATACAACTTCTCAGGGACATTCTCACATCAGCTCTTACTGCATCTCAGTCAACATGTTCCCTCATTGTCCAACAACTAAACACAAAAACTGCTTGTGGCATGATTAAGGAATCTTTTACTCAATGCCACTATGTGTCCTTTTTGTGGTAAGGAAAGCATCTTCTAAATGAGAACCAAGAACCAAGGGGGGAGGAGCATTTTCCAAATGCCAAAAAACATAATTTCAGCATTTGTATAGACTAATTTTTTACTCTTGTAAAAAGGAAAAATACAGAGGCAAGTAAGAACATGTTGTCATTGTCCTGGACAATGGTACTGTCTACCTTTATAGATGATTCCATTCTATTTAGCAATGAATAGCATCATTGCAATTTCAGCTATCGGTTCCATTAGTGCTGGGTAACATAATCTGTTTCCATTAGATAGCAAGCATATTAAAAATACACCAGAAGCAACACAAAGCAAAAACATGAGATGAATAGAAAATGAAGTAAGCTATTCACAAATACAATTCCTGAAGTTAAGAGGTATGTTCTTAAAATTGTGAATAAAAACAACCAAGGGTCCCTCTAGTCCAGGATTCTGTCTTCAGCTGTGGTAGCCCACAAAGGGCATGCATGCTGCAGCTTTTCTTTGCTTTTTGCATCCTAGCAATCAGAACACAGAGGTACCTCTTTAAGTATGAAGTGTTAAAAACATTTAGTACCTACCAGACCATACAACATTTCATACAAAACAGCGCCAAGGCACCACCAGTCTACTGTGTTATCATAAGGTTGCTTTCTGATCACTTCTGGAGCCAGGTACTGCAAAAAGAAAAATGTCTGAGATAGCGGATTGCTCAGAGATTCATTTGACTCTTCTTACCAAATATTGAATGGAAGGCAGATTGTTTATATAAATAAAAACTGCAACATCAAAATACATGGGGAATGATCTTGTAATACTGGAAAATATTATGCATCCATTGGCTTAGCTTCGTTTTTCTTTTTCTTTTTCTTTTCTAATTCTAAGGAAAAGATTCCACAGCCTCTCTAGGTAGCTTAGTCCATTGTTAACCCACTCTTATCAAGATTTTCCTGATGCATCTGATTTCTTTCAGTGTATTACTTTCAATTGTATTCATGATGACCATTACATGCAGCAGCATCACCACCTGCATCCAAAGCTTTCTGAATGCAAGGAAATATTCTTAAAACGGTATTGACCCAATGCTAAAGCATCACATTCTGTTCCTGATGGCAGCCTAAAGTCTGTTTTTTCATAAAAAGATTGTCCATGGATAGTAACATGTAGATTGGCTTTTGCAGTGGTACAGTTCTACTTTAATATTCGCCCATAACTCCAGCACTGTGAGCATAGTAAAATTTCTGCAAAATAGAAGAAAACCTTCAATTAGTTACTATTATAACTTACCTCTGGTGTCCCACAAAATGTTGCTGTGGTGTCTGACATAGCAATTCCTTCTTTACAAAGCCCAAAATCTGTTAAGACAACATGTCCCTGTATTGAAAATAGACATTCTACTGTAAAGCAATGTACAGTGTTGGTGATCATGTTACTTGAAAGAATTCTGGGGCAACAGAAAAAGATTTAATGCCTACCAGTGAATCTAGAAGAATGTTTTCTGGTTTCAAATCTCTGGACACAAAAAAGAAAGAAGTAGTTCAGAGCACTAGTACAAAATACGTGCATTCAATTTTATGGCCCTTTATTTTCACCTTTAACAAATACAAGCAGTTAAAATTATTACCTGTACACAATATTTATGGAGTGTAGATAGCCCAATGCACTGGCTATTTCAGCAGCATAAAATCTGGCTCTGTATTCAGGAAAAGAGCGTTCTTTTTGCAAATGAAAGAACAGCTGTAAATATGAAGAGTACATGTTTAAAATGCTGCATTTAAGAAAATAATGGTGCCATTCTTAGTGATATTAACTCATTCTACAACTTCCCTATGAACAACTATCAAAACAATGAAAATATATTCTTTCTGTGCCTAAATATTCACATCCTTCCTTTAACCATTTCCTTATTTTGTCACATTCATTACCTCCAACTGTGCTGTGCCTGGGCTACAGCTGATAAATGAATTAAATCTATGTGTTGGGCCAATATAAAGTCATACTGTTTAGGCTAATATGAAGTCCTGTTGTGCGGGCTTTAGCCAGTTTCCATGTTCTGACAATCTATTTTAATCTCTTATCCTTTAGTGAGGAAGACTGACAAAATGCCAGCTGCAGAGAGGCAAATGAATCTAGATGTGCTGGAAGATGTTTGCTTCACATTAAATTGCCATGATTAGTTATTGCATCTTCTTTCTCAAGTTGACTAAAATTACCAGTTCTGTTGATTTCAACAGAATCTGCCACAGAACAAAGACCCCTAAATGTGCTTACCTCTCCTCCATTAACAAAATCCAGAACAAAGTAAAGCTTCTCTGTTGTTTGGAATGAATAATGCAATCCAACTAAAAATGGATGTTTCACATTTTTCAAGAGCACATTCCGTTCGGCCATAATATGTTTTTGCTGAAAGAAAGTGAAAGGTCAATAAGTAAATAGGAACAATTTTGTAATTGAATGGCAAAATAAAATATATGTTTCCTTTCACCTCTTTCCTGTTGAGAACTATTTTTTTCTGTAGCACTTTAACAGCATAGACCTTCCCATCAAGTTTTCGTTTTGCAAGAAGAACCTGAAAGAAAATTTGCATATAGAGTGAAAGACTGTTCTCATACTAAACTAGACAAATATTATATTTTACCATTACATTTTGACCCCCTAAAGTTTTCATAACCACATAGAATGCATCATAGATTAACTGGGTCAGACTAACTGCTTATCTATATGAATATTATCTCCTTTTACTAGTAATGGCTATCCAGGGTCTCAGGCTGAGGACTTTTGTAACACTTCATATGCAATTCCATTTTTAACTGGAAATGCCAAGGACTGAGGCTGGGACTTCACCAAGATCTTGGGAAAGGCACTCTTACTGGTCTTACATGACTTGGAAAGCCTTTGGAAACCACCAGATGTAGGGTCTCCAGCATGTCTGCTCACATCCTATGGAATGCCCTTTCCTCTGGTCAGGCATACATGACTTTGTTTTCTGCTTCTGCTAAATACTTTTGTATTTTAGGAAGCATTTCCTGACTAATCCTTATTTAACTACTATTTGTATTGATGTATTTGTTTTACTGTAATCCTTTGTATTTGATGTTTTAATTTTTACACTGCTCTTGTTGATCTGGAACAGTTTTTAATTACTGATAACAGATAATGAACGGAATTCAAGATTTGTACTCCCTCCTCAGATCATCAAGAGGCATGTTCCAAACTATGGAATCAAAAGAAGTTAAATATAATAGCATTTCAGAAAGAATATATAAACAATAAAAATTATACCTACCTTGCCAAAGCTGCCCTTCCCAATAACTTTCAGGAAGTCAAAGTCTGTTGGTTTAGCACTAGAAGGGATTCAGGATAGAAGGAGGTCATTTACAGTCAAAATAATAGGAGACAATGACCTGATTTTCAAGACAGGGCAATCCAACATGGGCAGCTAGCACATCTAATGTGGGGAGGCTTAATTTTCCACAAACAGCCCGCACTGACAACTTTAGGGATTGTGATACACATGATGGGTTATCATGTAATTTGAACTCAGGAGATCAATTATGCCATGGCTTGTTGAAAAGTGCCAGAGGTTCCTCTGCAGGATCCCCTGTGGGGTTTGGTGAAAAGTGCACTATAACAGGCAAATGTAGTCCAACAATGTCTGTTATAGTACCTGGATAAAATGCTACCGTATTTCTGAGTTTATATGTTCTCAGCCTGGGAGACAAATGACAGACCGTGGGTTCCAACACAGAGAAAAGGCTGTTAGGCAGTGAACAGATTTTGGTTCTATTTACCAGAAGGAACAGACAAAGCAATAGTGGGAAGATTTCATAAGAGGGTGTTAATCTCAGCTTCTTCGAGATTCAAGAATCCTTGAAGTAGGTGTGTGGAGTAACACTGCAACAAAGTCAGCACTACAGGCTTCTTCACTGTCATGGTGCACAGTTTTAGCTGTTCTTGCCAAGTGATTTATTAGCACTTCTCAACAAACTGAAGTAAAATCGCCCTGCTGGGTTTGGATAACACAATAAGCCACTGAGGAGTTATGATGTACCCTAAAACAGTGGCTTTCAACCTTTCAGTCTAGCTGGAGACTGATGAAAAAGAAAAATACATTAGGGACCACTGAAGCAGGAAAAAAAGCCATCAATCAACAGACTCAAGATAGGTTGTTTGAGAAGAATAAGCCAAGAAACTCTGTTGGGTTTGGACAATATAATCCACAATGGCTTATTGTCCATGAGAGGTTATCATGTCATCCAAATCTGGTCTGCCATCCTCTTTATGCTAGACTGTGCTAAGAGAAGAGAAATGATCTTCTCTGCCCTTTTCTTTCTACTGCAGTCCTCTGAAAATGCTTCATGGTAAGGGGACCTTGCTGAATGGAATGAACTGTGGTGCACAGGGAGGGAAAATCCCCAAGAATCAGGTGGTGGGTCCTTGCAAGTACCTGTTTTGGAAGGCAGATCCTGGATCTATCACCACATTTCCAGTTTTATGCTTATGCTTCTTTACTGTCTTATATAGCTGTTTTGCCTGTGATTTATTTCATTAACAAAAGATGTTCATCTTTTGTCATCTTTCGTCTTACAGTTTTCATCCAAATACATTGGAAAACACTTGGTATTCAATTACAAACAGCTCCTCCTCCTCCTCAAAACTGCTCAAAATGGCAAATATATGCTTGGTGCAATCCAATTTTTTCCTGGTTAACATCAATGGAAAGCTTGGTTCATATTTAACTAAAACCTACTGAGGATTTCCAGATGGTCCCAGGTTTATATTCTGTGAGGTAGAGTTTAACTGTTGAAAGCAAAAGGAAGACAGAAACAAAAATTAGACTGCATTAGAAAAAAATGCATGCCTAACATTTTAGATAACTTGCCCCTATCTAGACTAAGAATTAAAAAAGAAAAAAAAAGTCCTTTTGTAACCTGGTATTTGAAAGGTGCAAAGGTTAATTAGTTTAATTCCAGTGTGTTCCTGACATTGGTGAACATTTAAAAGTGTAAATTGCTCTTTTTTCAGCTTTGTTTCTCAAGCAGTTCTTTATTTTGGGAGCAAAGTCTAATGTCCTCCACATTCCTTAATATGCTGACAAGAGAAAAAATCAGCTTGTTTGACAAGAAGCTATGGGACTGACAAAGGAAATGCAGTGATAAAAAGCAAACATTGATAAGAATTCTGGAAGTCACTACACCAAATACTACCTATATTTTAAAGTATGTTTTGTATAACTATACCCTCAGCTACCTCAGTACAGATCACATATATATTGAATTTTTTTTTTCCTGTTAGGTTTTATTTGCACCCCTGATATAGTTTTACACTGTTGGAATAGGTCCATTTAGGGTTATACAGTTTTACACAAAGCTGAATGAATTTATGTATTTTATATTACTGACATTATGACCCTGTTTGCACATAATTGTGGCAAAGTGTGGGTTAATTAACAATTCGAAATGATGCATGCCCAGTGTGTGCTGACATTATTTTAAATATGCAGTGTCCCAAAAATAATCTAACCCCAAAATAATTTAACATTTGTATTATCCAGGTTCACAGACTGCATATTTGAAGAGACAAGCATACACACAACCTGACAAACTGTGGGTTAATTAACCTATGATTTGCCATCTGTGAATCAGAACTACAATAATTAACAATTGTTCTTATTATGGCTTGGTTTGTTTTTGAACTGCTATATTTATTGCTATTAGTTTGATATGTTGTGAGCAGCCCTGGTCACACTTATGAAAAAACAGCATGCTAGTAAATGAGTGTTGATGATGACCATAACAAGCAAGCTGTCTACATTTAGAAAAAACACTGCTCATGCAATCGATGTACTCATATAGCAGCATAATGTCACAGCAACTAACACAAAAGCAAAATTAAAAAACTAAAGTTTCTAGAGTAGCTAGTAAACAATTTTAGTATATGTTGTGACCCCAGCAGGGCAAACCACTGGTGCCTGTCTTAGTTTTCTTTTTCTGAATTTCTATAAGTAATGTACTAGCATGAGACAGCAATTACATTTTACATAATGAAACAAAGTAACACTGTGGTGTTCTGTTGCATTATTGGAAGTTTCAATGGTGGCTTCAAGTTCTGCCTATGCTCACTGATCAGCACCCAATATACGTTAAGCTTTGCCAGGGTTCAAGGAGCCCCCATTAACACAGGAAGGAGCCTAGAAGACACTATTGCCAAGGGCCCCCTGAGAGTTGGGACTGGGCTTTTTGCAATTTGTAATTTTCCAGTTTCTTGAAGAAGAGGCAGAAACACAGAGAGACTGGTTGTTCTGATGTCATGCTGCTCATGCAAACAGATGGCATATGTCAGCAGAATGTTATATTGTGGAGATGGCTTAAAACTCTAGGTGATTACAACTGAGGATGTTAAATGAAGGAATTCTTTACACTGTATTGTAGTGAAAAATGGGCACTCAGCAAAGGTGGAGGAGGGTGCAGGAAGAATCTTTCTGGTAGAAACCTAGTAGAGAATGCTGCTGTTTTTACCTTTTGATTGTTCCTTTCATCCTCATCCTCAGATGGATCATATTGGTGCTTTGGATTATCCATCTGAAGAAACGATCTCACATCTGGGCTAAGGAAGATAGTTAAATGCATCCATTATAAATAATGGATCCTTATTTATGTTCAGTATAATTACTTTCAGACACAAACATTTCCATAACTTGTTGTAAACCGTCCTGAGATGCCAGTAGATGGACAGTCTAGAAAAACCTTAAATAAATAAATAAATTTGTAGATGTAAGCACTCAGGATAGCACTCATATGCATACAGAAGGGAAATCAATTATAAGAATAAGACAGAAACAGAATAAACAGGGAGTTATTCAGTGTGTCTGTTTCAGAATAGGTTAATTAGAACCAGGTTTCTGTTTCCACCTCTATAGTGAATACTAACTGGATAACTTGTGAACAGCACCAGTAGGAAGCTATTTACTTTCTAACATGTTTAGTATTACTATCATTTTTACTTTTTAATAAGATTCCCTCCCTCCCTCTTATACATGGACAGAATTGCTCAGGTTTACATGAAAGCAAAAAACACAGCAGTAAAATACAAATCTAGTGCCATTAACAAGTATCAAAAGTCTTTCAAAAAACTGTATATTAAGAAGCAGGAAGAAAGCCAGCAGTGAAGGTGCTATTGGCTGGGCATTCCTCAGAGTAAGTACCAATGTGGAATAGTTACTGTCCAGAGCCTGTACAATTCTGTCTTTTGTGGATGGGACACGAAATAATGCCTTAGCCATCAGGCTTAGGGCATAGGATGATACATATGGGAAGAGGCACTCTCTCAGAAATGGTGGCCCTGATACTGCAGAGCTTTAAAGGCTGGAGCCCTCACTTTAAACTTGGCCTGAAAACTGAAAGGTAGGCCACAGAGTTGTCCCAGCATTAGAACAACTTGTTCCTGTAACCCATATTTGTCAAGGGAGTCCAGCATTTTGCCCTAGCAGAAGTTTCTAAATGGTCTTGAAAATTAAATATAACTTGAATAAATGAATAAAATTTCTTTTTAATATGGCGTATTTCATATTTCATTTAAAATAAATGTAGTTCCACATTGCAACAGTCAGTTTGAGAGGATATCAAAATACTGAGGACCTAGGACAGATCCCTTGGCTGAAAAAGTTTTTACAGCAGACTTACTATCTTATAGAGGAGGTAATGAGGAGGAGGAGAACTGACACTAAGCAGTGCCTCTGATTCCAGTCCTCAAGCTGTCGAGAAGGATTTGGTTGTATCAAATGTAAATAATCAAGGACTAGAAAAATTAGCCAAGTCACACTCTCTCGTGTCCATTTCTAGAGATAAGCAACCATAAGATGCTTGTATCAAATTCTGAGCTGAATTTGGGCTGGAATTCTTGGAGTGGATCATTCTACATCCTCACCTACTCAAAAAAGGCAGATGGGAAATTCTCCTGTCATCCAGGTCAGCCAGGTTCACTGAAGATTTCTGTCCCCCTCAAAAGAGAATGAACCTCGCTTTCCTTTAAAGATATAAAGAAATGTTCCCTCTTCCAACTACTTGTTTAACATGGCTGTTAAGAAGTTAAGAAGAAACAAATGAGTGGGTTTAAAACACATGAGTGGGACTTGTTAGAAAATATTGCAGTGTCTAGCCACGTCAATACATTTCTTGTCCTCTGATATTCTATTCTCTTAGGTTGGATCACTTAGAAGCAGTTTGTGGATTATGACTTCTATCCTGCAACTTATCACATAGTCATATTTAAATATCCACTGGGAAAAAATAGATTCACTTACTGATTACACAGTTCTGGCTGCCGTACTAAATTCTGAATGAATTCATTCAGTCCTGTTCTTCTCTGTTTAATGAAGTCTGTTTGAAAGAAAAATGAGGAAGGGCCAGAAATTGGAATTTGTCTCTAATAATGTGTTTATACATTTTTTGAGATAACATCAGTGTGCCTCAATGAAATAAAAGCAATTTCCTTGGAACCTATAAAGAACAATGAGATGGTAAAATGGACCAGATCTCAAGCAGCTTCTGATCTTATGAGTAAAAGCAAAGGAAAGCCCTCCTTTCTTTCTTAAAAAAAGATACCCAGTAAAATGTGAAAACATGCCTATCCTTTCTAAAAATGCTTCAGGCATTCAAACAGGGAGAGGGTTGAAATGTCCAATAAACTCTTGCAACAGTTATCAAAATTTAATCAAAATGTATTTATTGCAGGAGGGCTGTTTGTACCAGGATGGCAACTTGAGGTTCTCCAGATTTTTGGCCTACAACTCCCCTTATACCTCAGCACTGAATATTCTGGCTAGACTTGATGCTAAGTCAAAACATCTGGAGGGCCATATGTTGCTCACTCCTGGCTTATACTTTTGAGGGCAGGGACTTTAGAGGATAGAACTTAAAGTCTTATGAAAGCCAAATCCCTTGAATCTTAAAAAATTGTCTACACAAAAACCTTTCTCATCAAAGTCTACATATCATACAACAGAAAACAAAATTTTATTGTGGTATATCCAACCTGCATTAATTTATTATCCTGTAAAAAGGGAATTGAGGTAAACCATTTTGGGGTAAGTGTGTATACTGAGAAAGTGAGAGGATAGGGCAATTTTCTTTCAGTTGAACCTCAAGTAAAAAATTGGTAGGTGACTTTTTAAACATAGTAGTGAATCGGACGCAGGATGGAGAAAGATAAAAGAAATGATCGCTAAATTGAAGGTGTTCCAAGGTTTAGATAGTGTGAGGAAAGGACTGCCCAATACATTATTCAATGTAACCACTGAAGAACCTGAAGAGTGATGGGCTAGATTGCGATCTCCATTTGATGGTAGTAATACTAGGTGTGGCTACTCAAGCTGTCTGAAGCCTGAGTAAAGATAAATGGGAAATGGAATATTTTCATGTTTGTGATATCTTAATATGAATACCACCTTTTTTCCCATTTTGCTAAAATAAAGGTTTTTTACAGCTATGATCAGTAAAAAGGATGATGGAACCATTCAGAATTAACTCTTATCTCTTCTTTCTAAACCTGCATGTACTATTTAAAGTACTAGTGAGGAAAAATATTCCAAAATTAGCCTGAGGATTATGCTAAATACTATCCAGCAAAATTTAAGAGACACTTTGTATAAGTGCTAAAGTGGTTCATCTTTGGTTTATAGTCCAGTTAATAGTTCAATACATAACAGAATCTACCAAGATGGGAAATCTGATGTATGTGGATACAGTATAAGTGAGAGATGGGACATGCCTAAAAATATGAAAACATCAGTTTGAGAAAACAACAAAAACTTACACGTGCAACTGTTCTGGCTGTTGACAGAATTGCAAGGACAGAACATTTGTATCTCTTATATTTATCAGCGTTATACCGATTACAATGTACCCTACATTATAATGAATGATACTGATGTGCACAGACAAATCATACTGCACCAGGCATTTTTAAAGAAGAATTCTGATCCTCAATGCACTTCCACTCAATGCCTTGATTTCAACCTGTTTTTAACATCTTATGCTATAAAATACAAGGAATTTAATGAAGTCAACATGAAGACTTTCAAAGGATCTAATCAAAAATGTGTGCAATTGGAAGAGAAGATGAAAGCAAATCTCTCTTCTATTATGGATTGTACTACATGACAGCCTCTCACAGATGAATCAATGTATTGTGTGCCACAAGGGAGGTCATGAATAAGAGGGTAGGGAAACTTTCTTTAGTTGCAACTCAAGCCAAAAATTGGTATGTGGCTTTTTAAACATAGTGAATCAGACTCAGAATGGAGAAAGATAAAGAAGAAATGACTGCTAGACTGAAGGTGTTCCAAGGTTTAAATAGTGTGAGAGGGACTGCCCAATACATTATTAAATGTAACCACTAAACCAGAAGCTTGCATGAGACGGAGCTAAGAACTTTAGATCTACTGTTTATTACTGGCAAAGTGAGCTTAAACAGAAGATGTGCTCACGCCTGCTTGGGTTACAGATGAATGTAGTACTTATTTCGTTCAAGGCCCTATTTGCAACCTAACTCACCTCCCAGCCTCGAGGTGTTCCATTATTTAGCCATCTCTTTTCTTACCTGTGTATATTATTATGTCTATTAATCAATACCTGATCTAAACTGGAACTTAAACGATTGCCTAAAAAAAAAAGTTAAATGAAGTTTCAGCTGCTGCACTGACAGTTTGCTGTCCTGAATCACTACTAGAATATACTTTCCCTGATGATGTACCTCAGCTACACTTTGCGGATATTATTAGCATGTTGTCAATATTAGGCAACAGTCCAAAACAGAAAAAAGCAGCCCAGAAGTGCATTGTACACTGGGTAGATAATGATAAATCAAAAATTAAATAAACAAAAACAAAAAACCCTTGTCACTTACCAGGATCAAAATTATCCCCAAATATTCTTTTAGCAGGAATCCTCAAATTCATATTGGGAAACTGTTTTCTTAGCTAAAGGACACAAAGCACACAGATATATTATTAGCCTTGGAGTATAGCTAAATTCCTGCTCATAATGTATCACCAATACAACTATTTGGTAGACGTAAGTAAAGTTTATTTGTAGGCAAACCCATTGCCAAACAACAACAACTAACATATATTCAACAAATAAAGAAAAGATTAGAGCAACATTCCAGGAAGTAGAATTATTTATCTAAAACACTCAGTTTATCATCACTACCAATTTTCTTCCTTAAAATTGACATTCTAAAAACAAACTAGGTAACCTTTTCTGAAATCTGAGGGGAAGCATCCCCTAGTAAAAAGTTAATCAAATACTCAACAAGTCTATTGCATGAAAGACCTAGATCTGCAGAGAAGGTGGCTCTTAAGACCTCATAAATTTCACAAGTAAATGGAGTTCTTCAAGCACATTCTACTCACATGGACACATCCCTTTCTTCAGAAGGGATCTGACAACAATGTAATTCAACTATGGTGGAATTCACTGATTTACATCACAAGGCTGTAAAGACTTTCCATCATTTGGTTTGTAATATGATTATATACTATGGGAGATAAGACTGAAGAGGCAGTTTTACATACCAAAGGGTACATTTTGACAGACAGAAGTATGTTCTAGAAGTATACTAGAAACCATGTTTTAAAATGTGAGATTTCAGATAGCACACTGCCATCACAAAGCTTATGGTATTCAAGAGATACTGAGAAAATCCATACATATCAATCATTGTAGAATTTCTTGATTCCAAAATGGAGCCACTGTGTTATGATGGTTTAACATTTCTCTGATGGCAGGTAGCCCTAAGAAATATTGTATACTCTTTTACAATTTCAGAGAATATCTGAGGACAAAAATGTGTATTCTGCTCTTTACTACGCAAAATATGGTGCCTAACTGAAGAATAAAGCTCCCAGTTGAGCGAGGGAGCTTTTGAATAGCTAACAAAATTATTCTGGAGTACTTCAATATTCCTTTTCTGAACAGACCCCCATATTTGAGGACCATAGCAATCTGTGCAATAACTTTGGCCTCACAGATTTTCATAGTTGGAAGAACATGCCTCCTTTGGCCTAGTAGCACCTTAATAAGGAATTCACAGCATCACTGGCTATTTACAACAACAACATCCAGATGGCTGCTCTGACTTCCAGTTGAGGAAAAACTTAAACCTAAATAGTTAAATGTTCTATAGGGGGTCCTTCAAATATGCCATCTGTATTTTTTTAATCTGTTAGCAAAAACCAATACTTTTGTCTTTTCATAGTTTTCAGTTTTCTTGCACTGCTAATTGGTGAAAGGTTTTCAAGAAACTTCTCAACCCTTGTTGTATTTGGGACAGGAGAACATATTATCAGTCTATATCAGGGGTCTCAAACTCGCGGCCCGCGGGCCAATTGCTGGGATGGGCGGGCATGGGGGAGGGGTCCTGCGGCCTTCAAAGCGCCGGCGGTGCCCGGGCCAGCCTCCGGGAGCGACATGGGATGAGCAGCCCACCACCACCGCTTGATGCGGCCCAGCCTCACCCAGACTCTACTTCCAGCGGCCCCCAGGTAAGTTGAGTTTGAGACCCCTGGTCTATATAAGGAACAATGTTCCATTTCCCAATTTAAGTAATACATAATTGCCATGGTTACTTAGATCAGTTTTTAAAGAAATCAGATAAATATTAATCAGTGATGGAGTTAAAAAAACATCCTTGGCAGGTACCTCACAAGTCCATCCTAACTTGGATTTTAGTGTCAAAATGAAACCATTGTGATAGAGGTAGATTTTATCATGACTGCATTTACTTACTGTATTATGCAGTTTATCAAATTCAGCATATCGCCTTAGGACGAACCATTCATTAGTGCCAACTGAGACCAAAACTTTGTAAACCTGCAGTAATACAAAAGCAAAATTGGGATACAATCCAGTGGCATTTACATTCTACTGATGAAAAAGCTAATTGAAAGAGTAGAAAAAGCAGTGTGTTGGTCATCATAATTCAGACTTAGAATCTAGCATACATATGCACTGTTCATGTGTATATTTATCTGTCCCTGTGTTGTTTGTCATTCTGTACTAATATATCTTATTCCTTTAAATATTTGTATTAGATTTTATTTGCTTAACTATTTGTACACCCAGAGATTAGATAAATCCACCCAAACAGCACTCGCTATTGGGCAGATTAAAAACAGAATGAATGAACAGAAACTATACCAAGAAAATCTAGGAAAATGTGTTGAAAAAAACATTTGAAAAAACACTGGAGATTCTCTGAAATCTAAATTATACACACAATAAAATACAAATTATCTCCAGAGAAGCTGTCAGGATGAGGTGGGGATTATAAACAGGAACTCTGATTAAGTTAAACTATGATTTCTTGAAACAGGGCACGATAATGAACTATAGTTTTATCTTGGCTTGTTTCAATAAATGATAGTGTGAATTAATTACAGTTTATCCTTTTCAACTATGGTCAGTTTAAAAAGTTTAAAGATTAGATGTTTCTAACCTCTCACTCATAGTAACCAGTGGAGAAGAGGGGAACAGTTTAGTATTATGTCAAAATTAGACCCAAGTGTGGAATTAACACAACATTAAACAAATAAAGTCTGATTACATACTTACAGTAAATCTTTTTTTCTTCACCCTCTGTTCATCAGAGCTGGGGATGCTAACACTTGGGCAGCTTTCCTTGAAATCCATGTTACGTTGTCTTTAGGCAGAAAAAATCCAGCACAACAGTGTATAGCAAGAAGTAGAAAATGTCAGCAGTATTGTTTCAAAATATGTGGCCTCTTTCTTGTGAATTTAAATTCCATCATGTAAACCTTAAATAAAATGAAACAAAAATATCAGTGGACAACTACTTTGTTTCAGGACTAAGAACTAAATATTAATTTTCCTAAGTAAAGCTTATTCTTCTGTGTTTGTGTAGAGTGAATAAGGAACAAGGGGGATGCACTGACAACTGAACTATGGTCAACCACAAAGTAAAAATAATATCAGTAAGGTTAAGTGATACAGATGTGAACATGCAAAAACTTTTTACTATTCACATGTATTCTATATACAAGATGTGTCAGGTACCTGTAAGATCAAAACACCCCTATCACCAAGACATAGTTGGAAACTAAAATACAGAAAAACAACAGTACCGATATTTAGCATTAGTGCATTTGATGTGCACAGATGGGTAGAGAGAGTGTAATTCATATATTCTCAGTAATCACGACAAGAAGTGTATAGTATAAACTTATGGACAGTATTATTATCCCCTACATTAAAGGAAAGGGAAAGGGGAATAAAGGTTCATCTAAGGCTACTTAGTGAACATGCTGCTGAGCTGAAATCTAATACAGACACCTGGTTAACAATTTGCACTAGTGTTTATGCCAAGCCCATGCCTCTTTGCTCTAACCCAAGGCAAACGCATTTCTCTAAGCTTTACTGTCTACTATGTGTTCATAGGAGTTCCACCATGTACACTGTGATGAAAGCATCCTCCCAGTAGACATCTGTACATGTGAGAAGCAGAGAGAGATGTCTTTCCCATTTGGCTACCCTGTAGGCCCTTTTCCGGGTGGCTGAGGTACAAAATACTGAATGTGTGTAAGGGGAGCACAGCCATAGCTGACATCCCTGTCTCTGATCTCCATTGTTAATGGTTTATTTGTGAACATAGTCTATATATGTACCAAAGAAACAGTTGGCACATGGTGTCAGTATTAAGGACAACCTTTTGCCTATATGTTCAGTATTTCTGTATGTCTACAGTGTGAACATGACTCATGTCTTCAAAAGGTAGCAATCATTCTAGAACAGGAGTGCAGAACCTCTTGCAGCCCAAGGATCAAATTCCATTTCAGATAAGTTCTGGGAGGAAGTGCATTCCACAGGTAAGCATGATCAATGGCAAAATGGGCAGGGCCAAAACCCCCATTTTACAAACTTTACATAGTTTAGTGAAAACTCTTACTGCCAGTAACTAGACCTCAGAAGAGGCATTTTAACTATTTGGGGAAGGGATTCTGCAGAAAAGCTGAAAAAAGTCCCACTGAAACAGTGGTTGGGGGGAAAGGGTACATGGTCATTTAGGAAAACCAGCAGGTGAAACTGGAATTTCAGGATAGCTGCAGCTGACCCTTGGGTGTGACGTTCTACACATCTGCTCCAGAGGAAGTATGCTTAAAGAGTGCAGCCTTTGTTTTTCCACCATTCTGTTTAATGGATTCCTAATGCCTCTTTCCCCCACTTTTTAAAAACTGGACTGAAACATTTACAGCGGAAAGGTAATTTTAAAGAAGCAAAATATTATCAATATCTAGAAGTAGTGGTTCAGCCCCTAAAAAGCATGTTTTTTATTAATCTAAGTTTAAGGCAGGTAAGTTGTCAGTTTGACCTAGGGTTAAAGGGAATGTTTAATTATTCACTGTTGACATGAAGCTCATTTAAACCAATTACACTAAGACATTCCATATATATGACCAAGATGATTATCAGAATACCTTATGAGTACTAATTTAACAAATTATGTGCAGACATTTAGAAATGTAAGCTCTAGAGCAACAATACTAACACAAAATGTTCAGGTGACTAAATTGATCAGTTAGGAAAAACAGGGACATAATACTTTTATGCAGTCCAACTTTTTAAAAAAATCAAGTTTAACAAAAAACAAAACAAAAACCCACCACCAACTAGGGAGAGCAAGATACAAATTCAACATGTCCTTTGCAATATATTATCATTTTACGATAGTGAGTACTTTAAGGTAACATGCTCCCAGTGCTAGCAAACAGAAGGGATTTGTAGCAACTCTTGTTTTTTTCTATGGTAAGAAAAAAGATCAAAAGTGGTAGGAAAATTTGGGAGGGTTATGGGTAGGACATGATGTTTGAACTTCAACTTTTGTGAATGAAGCAAGGCAAAACCACTCAGTGATTCAAGAAATTATTTGCAGAATATTTAAGTTAAACTATGCACTGAATCTGCTTAGGATAAAACAGTCTCGGCCACTCTTAAAAAAATCTAGCAGATCTTTGAATCTGCTTCTAGCACAAAACCAAAACTCATGAGGCACTTTGTAAGGTAGAGAACAGGAGGCTGTAGAAGCTGTTATATTAACAAATCTGCTACAGTTTCAAGTTGTTATATTAAAATATTTAATTTTATACTGGTATACTAACAATTGTTAAATTTAAAGAAAACACACCTAAACATTTCCCAACTTACAATTCAGACACAGGCTTCTATTTTATGTGCTCCCTAGTGTTTTCAAAAAGCGAATATGATATAATTCTCCTATAAAGGAAACACCCATGTTTGTCCTGGCAAGGCTCTTCATAATTCAGCTAAGATATCTGTTCTAAACATTTAGCTAATAAATCTTACATTATGGTGGCTCAATTTTGTTTTATATGTTCATTTTTTAATTTCAACTCTTTTCTGAGCATTTAAACATTATAAAACAGGACTATTTTGACTGATCAGAAAAAATAACAAAGCAATATATCATTATGAAGGGCAATAGAAAAACATTTTAAAGTGCCCTACTTTACTTAACATGGAGCACATGATCACATCAAATGTAAATATTTTGAAAATGTTTAGGAATAATTACAACAAAAGACTAAATTTCTTCCACCCAATGAATGAAAATGAGCTTAATACTGGCCAGACTGTGCCCTATCTGTGTGTCAGTATTACAATAAACAATAAAATAAATGTTTGCTCCAGTTCTTGTGAACTGCCTTTTTTGTGTTTATAATACGCATAGTTTTAAAAGCTTGTCTCAATTTATGCCATTTATTTGACAAGTAATATTCTTTTATTTAATAAAAGCGAACTAAAATCTTACATATAAATACAACATACTCCTTTCCATTTTAATTATTTTAAAGGGCATTTCAAAATCAAATAGGTCTCTGAATTAATATGTGGCCACCTGCATGTCTTCTTCAGCAAATATGAAATAATTACAAGAACCAGAATGCTATGCTGGATACAATGTTGGATTTAGGAGATGTGGTGTGAATGGCAGGAAGCAGCTTGCATCACCAGTTGGCAGCCTCAGTTTCCAATCTATAAAGTGGAAATGGTGACTTACATCCAGATTGGTTGTTAGCACAAAGCCTAATAAAAGGTCCTATTTGGAAATACATATAAATCAAGGGTGAGCAACACAGAGATTGTATTAAAAATAAAAATGTAAGGGGAAGGCAGCTCACAGTGGTTAGGAGGATGGGTGGGGGCAAAATGTCCACCCCAGTACTTCCACAGATACCTACCCCAAAATAAATTATCAGCAAAAAGCATTTCATTTTTTCTTTGTAAAGTGTTCAGGACAAAGGTTACTGCTCAGAGAATAGCTCCTTGGGATAGTAAGATTGTTCTAAAGATTATTTTAATGGAATACAGAGAACAATTAACAATTTTATCTAATATAGAGAGCAATTACATACTAATTAAGCCTAGGAAAGATTAAGAAATCTTTCCTATTAACCCTGGGAAAGATAGAAATTCATGAATAGCTCTGAAAATGCATAAGAACAGATGCATTTTGTAACTGGTATCAGCACTGTCTAGAGTCTAGACTGTATCATTTCTGATTAAGAACATCTTTCTGCCAGAAGTCAGATAGTATAAATTCAGTCAAGGTGTAACAAGGGCAAATAAGCCACTGTTTTTTAATGTGAAGATGGTTAGCATATTAAGGTATTCATCAAGATAAGAAGGGTTTATATCTCCCAGAGTAGGTTACTGAATTACCAGAAAAAATGCCAAGAATTTTTCCCTAAAAGTGGCTTTCTGTCAACATATGGTTAATAAAGTCCCTTCCACTCCTTGCAGCCAAGTTTATCGGAGGCAGGAAGACTGTGGTAGCTGAAGGAGACAGCACTGTCTGCCTACTGAGCTTAGAGCTGGGTGCCTCACACTAGTGTCAGGTCAAGTCTTGAAGGAAGACAGACAGACAGACAGATCTGGGGTGCTCCCAGACAGAGGGCTCCTAGCACTATCATCAGTGGGGACTGTGCAGCTGTCCTGCTTTTTCCTCCACAACAGATTTTCTACATCAGGAAAGAAAGATACAAGAAGCAGTGAGAAAATGCAGAAGAGGCATGAGTAAAAGATGATGTCAGCTGGATCCTCTGTACAATTCTGGGAATGACACAGAGCTAGAGTGCCAGGAAAGCCTCATCTGGAAGTTCCCCAGCCATTGATAAACTCAGCTGCAAAGCATTTTAGCCATTTGGATTGTCTTGATATTTTATATTTTTATTTGTTATTTAAATGTATTCTGTTAATGCATGCTATGATTATATGGCCATTTGGGGGCCTTATTGTGTATACCATCCTGTAACCCACACAAGAACTGACAGGGCTTTCCTCTCCAAGCAGGTACCATTTTGGCTGGACATCCTTCTCAATAATAAACCAGATCAGGAGAATTACCTGCCTGAAGTCCTTCGCAGAACAGGGTGACTTGAGCTTAAACAGTTTGTTGCTGTTGTAGGTTTTCCTTACCTGTTGCTATGGGAACAATTTGGATTTGACAACATTGTATTCAAATGTCACTGTAAGCTGCTCTGGCAATAAGATATGCTGTAGGGGTTGTTTATCTGGTCATCCCCTCCCTCCTCTGATCACTACTCATATTCAATCCCCCACCACTTTTCCGTTTTTCCAAATTTTCAAAAAAGTTCAGTAGTAGCTGTTGTTTTGGCTCAGAAAACTGCATTGTTGTGTTTGCAATTTTTATTTACCTGTTGGCTTTCACAAGTGTGCTGCCACAGCTATCTGATATTGTATGCTGCCTTGCCTGGTCAAACTCCTTGTCTGATAGAGCTGTCAAAGGAAAATGACCAGGTGAAGTAGGTAAAACTGACAAGATTGCATCTAACTTACACACAGTATCAGTTGAAAGGCACAGGTTAAGCGGAAAAAAGCAGGAAAAGAAGATGTAACACAAGTAGGGAGTGGGGGGCATTATCTCCCACTTGTCAATATGAACCTCTAGATTTTAAATGTTGAACTGCCAGTTCTCAGTGTCCTCTAACTTTTTGACACTTCCCTGATTCTCCAGCTGCTCCTGAAAGGGAGAACTAATTCTTACCCATTTTTGGAGCACTTATTTCTATGATTACTATGGTTCACTGACAGTTCTAAACAAACCAATAAACTATACGGAAACTAAATTAGCTGAGAGGTAAATGGGAAGAGAAGGAAAGTGTGCACACCGAAAGTAAAGCAGCATTTAATGTTAGATGCACAAATGTCTTATCCCTTTACTCCCCAGATGTTATATTAATGCAGCACTTTTCAGCCATTACATTTGTCCATGCACACATGCATTAGAACTATCAGTGAACCACAATAACTACAGAAGTAGGTGGACTAAACAGAAGACACAAAACGTGCAGGGGAGTTCACATGTCATATTTCTAGAGTATCTGGATATTCAGTAAATTGTTGAAAAGGTGCAGGGCACTGAGAACTGATAGTTCAATATTTAAAAGCCAGTGGATTACAGTGCTAAGTGGGAAATATTTTCCCACCTCTTTTTGGTACCCTTACTTTTGTCACTTTTCCCTGTTACCAGTACTTTTCCACTGACAGCTGGGCAAGTGGTCGTGGTGACTGTGCACCAAATTGCCTAGATGCCAATTCATATTGTCAGTTTCCATGTAATTTATCTACCCCATTTCACCATTCCTTTCAACAGCTAAAACACATGAGGACATCGACCAGGCGAGACTACAGCTGTAACAGCACACTTGTGGAACCCCAATATCCACGATATTATGAACACAGTGACATAGTGCACTGAGAAAATAATTTCAAATGGTGGCCAACCAGTGGCTCTTGCTCCAAAGTGCTGCTTGGGCACTGGTGGAGAGCACAGGCAAGGTCAAGAGCGGTAAGGACTTTTGCCAAGTGATTTACTAGCCAATGCCTGCAACTCATAATGAAGTTGCGCTTTGTTTGAATGGCACAACAACCCATCATGGATCAAGCAACCCCTAGAATTACCTATGGCTTGTCAAGGTGGCTTGATGCTGAAAAATAAGTCATACTGTGGGAAGCTGTCTGGATTGGGACGACATGACAACCCACTGTGGCTGAATACTGAAAATGCGTAGTCATTTTGTGTGAACCAGGTCAGTTGGAATAAAGTAACTAAATGGCAACTCCACATGCCCAATGCTATGGTGGTCAAGAGTTTCAAATTCACAAAAGGTAACAAAGGAGCAAGTGCATGTTGAAACTGAACAGGAATCAAGTAACAGTTTCTTCCTATCCTGGAAATGTAATAAAATTCAAAGCTGATGAAATAGGGGTGCTTTTGTTTTGTTTTTTTGCAGTAAGCACTTGCTGATACAGATGGAAACTTCCTTACAACAGAGTGGTCTCCATGGGCTAGTGTTGCTCCCACAGGTTCTGATTTATATTTTACCAGTTTTTGCATGAACAATGCTCATAACATGGAAGTTGGGACAGTTCAGAAAGTGTCAAAGCATTACAATTATTGATTGGATTCATCCCATGACAACCATCAGCAGCTTATTAAGATTTTTCATTATCTATAACCATTTCAACTGACACTGGAAGCGAATGATAATATAGTAGATTTGAATAGTGCATATAAAAGAAGGCGGGGAAGGATTTGAGAAATTTACTTACCTTTCAGTCTCTTAAGTGTGAGTTGCAAATCCAGGAACAGAATTTGAACAGTGTTTCCTCACTCTAGTTGAGACGGATTCTGAAAGTAGGCCAGACCTATATGAATCAAAAGGACTGTGTTAAATGAGGCAAACCAAAATTACTTGCTTACTGCCCATGCCTCTTTAATCAAAAGAAGCAGGGCCAAAAATAGTGTCATATTGCAGCTTAAAGCTCTTATCAGCAGTAACTGACTCTTAGAGACACATCTACCTTTTATAAAGGGGAAAACCTGCACATGCTAGGAAATAATAAAATCATTGGTGGTAGGAAAAAAGGGATTAGGGCCTGAGGAAGGTGACATGGTCTTCTGGGCACCCCAGAGGGCTGGCTTTGGACCTCAAGAAGGTCAGGTTTGGCCCCTGGACCTGGGGTTTCCACCCATGGCTTTGCACTTGAGGGCATTTATGCCCCATCTATAGAAGGGGAGGAAGGGGAGGGAATTGCCAAGCACTTTCTCAATTTCATTTAAATTTTATATTCTGAAATTGTACAGGTGTTTTGGAAAGATGAAGGTAAAATTCTTCCATTTCATTTTTATTCTCCCTGCTCCTTCAAACACACAGATGCACACTGCCAAAACAACTTTTGCACGCATCTGGCATAACACTGCACAAAACATATTTTAAGTTTCAATTGAAGTGTCAAGGTTCATTTTTCTTCTTGCTACCTACACCAGACAAAAAATGAGGTGATATTGTCAAACACTACTTTTCATATTGAAACTGTACTGGAGCTGTGCAGCAATTCTCATTAATTGAGGCAGCACACAGAGCAGAGGTGAGCTTATGGGACAGAAACTCTGAAACTCTTATAACCATAGTAATATTGTTTACCATTTTAAAACAAATAAAAGAAATTGGTAAGCACAGCAACCCCTCAAAACTAGTTTGGATGACATAATAATCCACCACCCAACACTGCAGTGCATGCGGTCCATCATTATGAACGTGCGAGCACAAGGGGGTTACTGTGACTTGTCATATCATCTGAATCCAGGGAACAGAAGTTATTTGAAGTTATTTGAAGGCTAAATAACCCTTGCATAACTCATGGTCTGTTTTAGGGTTATGCCAGACCAACTGTCAAATAACCCTTTGTGGCTTTTCATAAAGGTGACTTAACACACTACAGTTCGTCATGAATGAATTAACCCAAAAAAGTGAGGATAAATTTTAAAAGATGGTATAGATCACAAAAGATAGGGAGATTGAGTATCCCTGATGTAAAGTTATACTATAGTGTAAATCAAGTGAGGTGCATACCGGATATTATATTACAACCTGACAAGGTAATATGATTAAGATTGGAGGTTTTTTCAACTACAAGGATCTTTGACTTTTAAAAACATTTAAAAAGGTAGAATATCCTTTCCTTAAAAATATACTACAAATTTGGAATAAGTCTAAGAAAAAGTTTATGCCATCAATCTCACCATTATGTCCAATTACTGAATTAGAAGGGTTTCCATTAAATCTGAGAGAGCCTTTAGGGAAAATATTAAATAATGAACAAATAATTAGATTAAAAGATTGGCTAGAGAAAATGAATAAAAATAGGGAAATAAAAGCAATACAAGGAAAGGAAAAAATAAAGTGGTACAAGGTGATCCAATTAGAATCTTGAACTAGAGAATGAATAAAGAAGAAAGGTAGATGCAGAGATTACACTAAATTTGAAGACATGATAGAAAACAATATGATACAATAGAAAACGAAACACAAGACAATATGTGGATGAAAAACAATACAATATGCAGATGAAATGGATAGTAAGTAAAACTTATAAGATACTGTTAGAAGAACAGAACCCTAACCCTAACTCTAACCATAAAACAACAGTGGAAACAGATCTGAGGTAGAACATTAGCAATCAAGACTGGGAAAATATTTGGGCAAAGAAGATATTAAAATGTATGTCAGTAAGAATAAAGGAAAACTTTTATAAAATTATCCAGAAGTGGTATCTAACCCCAGTGAAGTTGAACTGTATAGATAGTAAATATTCCAATTCATGTTGGAGATATAGCTGTCAAGTGGGTACATATTTAAATATGTGGTGGAAATGTGAATATATAATGAAGCTTAGGAAAGAGGTTTTTAGAGTACTAAACTATTAAGTTTAAATATTGAAATAATATTACTTCCAGAAATCACATTACTTTCAATATTTGATAAGAAACAATGGTATTGGAATAATAAAAAATAACAAATGTAATAACCGCCGCAAGATTAATCATACCTAAGAATTGGAAAGTAAAATATGATTATCAATTGTGTGATTGGAACAGAGAAGATTGGAACACAGCCATTAATGAAAAAGTAACTTACGATATTAGAGAAAAGGACATATAAAGAAACAAAGTTTAATGATCTTAGGGATGGATTTATTAAATATGTGTTTTGGAAAGGATTTGACCATCAAAAATGCAATTTTGGAAGGGGGAAATGTTCTGAAAGAATTTTTGAATGAGTTTTTTTCCCAGTAACATGTATCCTGTTGTTCCGATGATGCACAATAAAGTTTTAAATTGTATGTTTAATGTTATATGTTTTTATTTTAGCTGTAAGTTCTTTCTTAGTTGTATTTTATATTGTAAAACTAATTAAAAATTAAAAATGAGTTAATTAACCGATGATGAACTGTTGTGTTCTGCAAACTGGTTTGCAGTCACATTAAAGGTGTGTTCTTGCTGAACATGTGCTTAGATGAATAATGTAGTTACTGCCTGAGGTAGTGAAGTTCCTGTGTGGAGCCCAAAGGTCTTGGAACAGCAAACACAGGTGTATTATGTGCTGTAAATAAGACACAATGCAGGTGGAAATTACCAGGGCAGGGGAGGAATACAGTATGCTGTTAAATTATTAGAGTGACAGATAATATGTATAGAATCTGAGAAATGGAAAGGGATTTTTCAGGTCTACTTGTCTAATTGTTGTTTACTACAAAGATTCCAAACAAAGAACTATCCTTCCAGTAATCAAAAGGAAGAACTGAAAATGTCACCACATTGCAAAAATGAGGAAGTGAAACCATAACTGAGATAAGCTGCTATGAATGAAACAGGCTGGATTGTTAAAGTGCACCAACTTAATGAGACCAACTCTGTATTTCTAACGAAAATCCCAGTTCCCAGTTGCCTTTTGTTTCATCTTGTGCTTTTCCTTTGTGAATCAAATGCTGTCACCCAGCAGCAGCCTCAAAATCTCTCCTCCCATTTGCCTGCTACTTTCATGGGGTGAGGGTGGTATGTTTGTATGTATGCTCATTTCCTGTTGGAAGCCCTGTCCCACGCTGTTACTCAGACTGAGGGTTGCGAATTGCACAGCAGGTGAGGTCATGGTCTCATCCTGCTCACATAAAATGATGGAGAGAGAAGACAGTGACATTGTTCTAATAAAGAAAGCAGTATCTTTGGCATACACAGCAGCAGCAGCAGGAAACCTCTTTGAACTGTGGGCATATTTGGCAACTTAAGAAACAGTCCAGGGCTCCGCCACAAAATAGTTACCATGGGAGGTATGACAATGGACAAATAACCTTTACAAAAGAATGGGCATCAGGTAGTGGTGGAGTATGAGCTCTAACACACTAAACTCCTGTGTTTCCACTGTTTTCAGCACCAAGAGAAGACTACCTCACACCTACCACAACTGTAACATATTTTACTACTTTTCTTTTAAGTGATAGAAGTTAGGGTACCTTGGCAGGTGTCAAGGTAGGTGAATAGTGACACACTCATTCCTGTGGGAACCGTCTTGCCTACCCCAGTGTACAGGGTAATATTCCCTGAGTAACTACAACCAGGCTCTAGTGCAGGAATGAAATTTCCCCCATCCCATACTATTCCATGACTACATTTGCAGCTTATAAGGTTGGAACGCATTCAGGATTTGTTCAGGGATGGCATACAATACTCACTAGCATTCTTCAGATCTTCCACTGCCTGCCCATTCCAGGAACCAGATCACTTCTTCTACAGTGTAAGCCCCCTTCTTGCAGCCAAGAAGTCAGAAGAAGTCTGAAATTTGGGAGAGCTGCAATGAAGGAATTAGAAAAGATCATGATGGATGTTTCACTGGAAACCAAGGTCAAGATCATCTACACCAGGGGTGTCCAAACTTTTTGCAAGGAGGGCCAGATTTGGTGAGGTGAAATTGTGTGGGGGACGACCATTCAGCCTGACATTCTTTGAACCATTAACATTAAATGCAAATGAACTATTTTATGAAAGACTAAACAAATAACTGCACTAATGTGAAGGGTGATACTGAGATCTCGACTGCATTATATAGGCCAGGTCTGGCTCAAAAACAGTGGTTTTGATGTGCAAGATGTCATGCAGGTGAAAGTCACTTAGTCTCATCCTCACGCGGTTCTTGTTAATGTTCATAACCGAGAATGTCTTCTCACACAAGTATGTTGAACCAAACAAGCTCAGCATTTTCTTAGCAAATGTTCGAATCTCTTGGAACCTGTCTTTATCCAGCTGGCAGTAAAAGTTGACAAGAGGGAGCTGTTGGTGCCAACTGCGACACTCGGCATCACACTGAAGCTCGATGAGCTCCAGCTGCAGGTGGTCTGGAGCATCATCAGGGTCCACAGAGAAAGATGAAAAAAGCGTGATCAGCCAGGCAAACAGGATCAGATAGCTCTGGCATCGGTTGTTTTTTGTCCTCCCTACGAGAGTAGAAGTGCTGCAGTGCAGACCCCCGAATGAGCCATCTTACCTCGTTGTGATACACAACATTTCCGTATTCAGCCTGGATGTCAAGTAGAAACTGTTGAAACTGGTGGTGGCACAGGGCTTTGGAGCGAATATAATAGCCTTCATCACTGGTTTCATAACATGATCATATTTCAGATGTTTGGCACAGAGAACTTGTTGGTGAATAATACAGTGGAGTTTTATAGCTTTGTCTCCTTCTTCGCTGACTTTGTTACAGACTAGAGTTGATAATCCACTTCGCTTGCCAGCCATGGCAGGTGCGCCATCTGTAATAATCCCATTGACTTTATTCCATGGTAGTTTCATGTCATCTACGGCGGAACA